AAGACAAGTGGACGGGGCGCTTAGGATGAAAAAAAGAGATGAAAGCGAAGAAGGCCTGAGAGCCCTAGCCTGGGTAACCTTCCGCTACGCTAGCTTTTTCTGGCGTTGGGGATGACTCGGCTGGTCGGTGATTGTTGGAAGGGTCCTTCAGTACAGCAAGGCGGCAGCTGATCATGATGGCAAACGAAAAAAAAAATGTCTCTTCAGTCCTTTCATTCACACTCACAGAGTGTCGTTATTTTTTAAATCTTTTAAACTAAACACCCGTCACTTGAAATGCTGGAAGACAATATGGCTGTGTAATATTTGATGTCTAGTGGTCGTTTTACAGCTGTTTCCCTTTTTGATTCAAATATCTATATACCCATACATAACACACACAGTGCAGTATGTGAAGCTTGACTTAACTTCTGGAAACATACGTATACCAACGTAACAGCACTAATGTTATATATAAGGGATTTACCAGTCTTCGAAACGAATTTTTTGAACCCCCGATCGGAAGTGATGTGACTTTGCGACGTTGAATTCGGTAATCTGCAAACAGATCTTTCGGTGGCTACAAATACAGACAGTATCAAATTGACCAGGCAGTATCCATTATTGTCACCCGTTTCAGGTAGGCGAAAAATAGTTACCAGTACAAAAAGAGAGCCCAATAAAATGCCTAAAACACACCAAAAGTTAACTAAAGCCTAAACTTCTGCTTGGAGAGTACGCGTTCGGCTATAGCTAGTGAAACCAAGATCTACTTCTCGGAAAGCGTGACTAATGTATTTATTGATGAATCAGGCACGAAAGGAAAATTTCCGGTCCTGGCTCTAAAATAGTGTCCGGGCAGCTGGTAACCTTGGAGAGCGAGCCTCCTCAGACACACGCCGGAAACACCGCCGCCGGGAAATTTCCGCTCAAATAAAGTAACTACGAATGCGGAAAATGTTATGTCTAAACATGACTTCTTTGTTGATGAAATGGAACTATCCAGAGCTCCTGACGATTGAGCGAATAGATCGTGTCATCGTCAAGAAACTACAAGAACAATTTATTTTGGACCTAATGCTAGAACGAGAACCACTATACTAGACGAAAAGTATTACACCGTTGGTTTTCAGAAAATTTCTCATACTTGGAACATATCTCCCGTGTTGAAACAAATTACAATATCACGTTTTCAGCATCACTTGATCTCATAAGTGCCTTAAGGATACCTGGATAACCAGCAATATCTTCAAGTGTCACCGAGGCGTCGCCAAGGAGAAACCTTGACCTTGGGTCTCTTGAGGGTCATTGGACATGGCTCTCAGGGAGATCACGTGACAGACTGAAGGCCACACGGCAACGGTTACACTCCAAGCAGAGGTTTGGGGTTTTGCTTATGGCGTCTTTTTTGGCTTTTAATTTGGGTTGGTGTAAAGAAAGAAACCAGTTAAAAAAAGCCCGATAAAAAAAAGCCTAAAAACACACCAAAACTAAGCCAAAACCTGAGAACATCTGATTCTATAGCACCGGTACGGTATGAAATCAACTGACACATCTCTCACCTCTGCCACAATGAACAACGGTATTGACCAAAACCCCATTTCAAACCCATCCCACTCAACCCATCAAAATATCAGTATTCTGAAAACAACGTTAAATTTTTTTCCAGCACCAATGAAACTCCAGTTCTGGTTGCAACCAGACCCATCGGACTGTCTTGTAGGGTATGGGCGTCTGTGATCGTCTATGAAGAAGGGGAATGCATGGGCCCGTGGGAGAACGTGCATCATACAATCATATCAAAGAATGTTTAGACCTTAGAACAAGTAGTATTAGTTGACTCATCTATTGTCTTGTACGTAGGTCAATTTTGCTGTATCCAGGTATCTGTATATCTACATGTAGTTAACGACCTTACGAAAGTTGCTGTACTTTTGTGGTGCCAATATAGATTCATTCATACATATTGGGTAAATTCCGCTAGAAGGCGCCCGTGCGCGGTTAGTTGTAAGTAAACTAAACTACACAGCACATAAGCGCCCCCTTTCGCATAGGATGCAATGCACATGTTCAAAATTACTTCTGCTTTGCTTCATTTGAATTCAGGAAGGTTTGCATGTATCTACAATCGTTCGGGGAGTGTCTATAAGTACAACTTACCACCCAAAGCGGACGTAGCGCGTCTTCCTGGACGGAATCTTTCCAGTCTTCTTCCCTTCCATGCGCACTCGCCATCTTGGAACGACGTGTTTGACACACGGTTGCCACCTGTTAATCATGGGCAAAATTTGAATTGAAGCAAGGTGGTGAGAATTTCCTGAATGTTTGACAGGAGTGATCAGTTTTAGTATGACATGGCGAACAGCAATGGTCTGCGCGGCCCTGTATTCCAGCATGGAATCTGTAATAATGCTTGTATTGATTGAACTATATTGTTGAATGGGACACTAAAATGATGGAAAGTATCCAAATCCGCTTTGATGGTCTCTTGCTCCTGCCCATTCACATTCTCCTGACGATTTGTAATGGTACTGCACATTAGGCCCTAATGGCTATATCATCTTAGCCTGCGACATGATATCGTTTAATGCACAGACTAGTAATGTACGTAGTACGTGTATGAAAACTGAATGAGTGAGGCGGGTAACAAGTAAACACATCCACTGACAATGAGGAAAGCTTTCCGAAGATGTCGCATGTTTCTTGATCAATTAACGTAAGTCCGGATATTGTTGCAATTGAGTTTGCAGAGCGGAAGTACAGTTACGTTCAATAAAATATGTCATCCATATTCTTTCCTTTTAAACGGTCGAAAAAAACACGGAGAGAAATGTAAGCTATCTACATTATTTATTAATACAAGACACGTATTCTTTCTATGCTAGCAGAGGACTCTAAATCGCATCTACTCTCTCCAAAGGATAGATAAATGTTATCCATTTAGAAGACAAACGGGCAAGTCGAACCCTATACATGTTGTTATACTTTTGATTCTAACAATACAAATGCAGTTCTCTTTGAGGTTTTTACCATGTAAATAGTGGTATTTGAAAGGTCAGACCTGGGCCCAGACGATGGTATCACAAACCGCTGACTGGAAGGCGCCGGCAGCTGCCTCTAACCGTCACTTCGGGATAAAATGGAAACGCACACCGGAGCTTCATTCGTCTCTGTCCGATAAAAACTACAGGTACTTGTTTTCTGTCAATGGCGGCATTCACAGTCCGATAGCCGCAAGAATGGGACATTTCGGAGAAGTTACGCCAGCTACACTGGTCACTTGACATTTCAAAAGACATTTACTAAATATCACTGGTACCATGCTGGAAGCCTTTTGCTTCAATTTGTTCGGAATGTGAGGTACATTTTGGCATGCTTACAAAAAAGGCCAGCTTTTCTATGTGCTGAGGTCATTCTGTTTCTGTCATAGCGTATTTAGTTTTAGAAAATTTAAGTTTGATAGATATTACGAACTTAAGTCGATGTTTTTCCACACAGCCTGTGATGAAGAACCCAACCTTAAGATGATTTTGAGTATCTTCTAAGGCTGAAGGTGGCACAGCTCAATATTTTATGTTTTACTTTAGAACCTTAAATTCTCTTTACTCGAGTAAATCATGATCCTCTAGTGAGCCAGATTGAAACAAACGCGTAATTCAAAACCCACAATAAAGACAAATTGAGTACTGAGACAAACTATACAAGCTTCACCTCCAACTGTTCTTGTCTGGGGGAAAAACAGCCTTAGCTAGTTCAAACTATTCAGCCAAGAAGCGCCGAATTATTCCCTATGGAGTTCTAATAAGACATTTTCCTTCCAAGTACCTAACATACTCTGAATGCACAATGCCTCAGGGAAGCACTATTAAAACTTACGTGTGCATAAGGTCGGAGGGTTGGGCTGAAATAAATCCCATTTCGGTTCAAATGTCTAAAAATTAGAGTGCTTTGATTGATAATCATGATCACCATGTTGCATTTTGATATTTTGCACACGTCCGCGCACTGTCTGCTGGGATTTCCCATCTCCCACCGCGCGAGGCTGCTCAGCCTGTGGAGTCGGCCATGTAATTATCCCATCATTCCCTCGCCTAACCACGATTTTAGCGCCGAGATTCACATCGTATCCGCCTGCTCCAAGATCACACAAGGGTGCTCAATATACTTTCACCGAGCGGCCGATACTTGGTCCGGTTCCGACTTCGGGACGTGTTTCCTACGATGGGTGAAGATCATATCCGTTTTTTTATTGAGCTACATATAAACTTATAGGACACTGTGGTGGGCAACCCTAGCAGGTTGCTAATCTTAGCCCCACCACTGACAAAGGAAGGTACATACAATAGTAAATAATAATAATAACAAAACGACAACAAGTAAGAAAACAGCAAGTAACAAATCAGCAAATGGGCAATATAAACGACAACATGCAAAAAAGGACCATAATGTTTTGAAACAGAATGGTTTTCCGTGGGCAGTTGAATACATTTAGTCAAGTGTAAACGGTCACATCCGTTGCGTGTGGCATCAGACCAAGTATGTCCCTATCAGAACTGTGGGGGTGTCGAGAAAGCTTTCATGATCTCGATGGTAACGTTATTATAACTCCGTGATGTGTGGCTATTCTATACGGCAATTGGGTCTGAGTGGCGGGCTCATAATTCTAAGTCTTGTCCATTTACTCTAAATACTTTTTATCTGTAATTTGCGGGAAGCAAAGCCAGGCTATAGTTAGTTAATTTGGGGTCAGCAAACGTGCTTACGTTCTTATAAAATCTTTATAAACGGTTATCTTAAAGCTATCAACCACTCCTGAAGTTGTGTGAAGAAGTGGAAAGAAGGCCGAACAGTCGGTGGTAGGTTAGTGCGGTGAGTTGCTTTCGTTGTGCTGGTTTGGAAGTTTGAATCTGAGTCTGGTGTGGTCTGTGAGTCTCATCACGTTAGAAAGTGTAGATTAAGGTGCCGTGACCTGCGGGTCTATTCTCGACATTGTAGCGAGTAAAATCCCATTAAGCTCCTACATGAATGATATCAGCCCAGCCCTGCCCGGCCCTGCTGTCGCGGAACGGATCATCACAAGGTATTTTCCACATCAGGTGAAGGCTGACCCCGGGGGAAGGAGGGCTCTGATCCGAACCGGAGACCCGCACATTTGCTGATGTAATTAAGTTTCCGCCTCATTGTGGATACATGGACTGCGCTTATGTCGGGGGAACCGATAGCCCGTATCGGCGCTGCCGATCTAACCGCCATGATCTGCATTCTACCGCCGCAAAGCTTTCCAATTTCCCCTCCTCTCCCAGCGGGGGAGACACAGAGGGCCCGGCTTCTGCACAGCAAGGCACCGGCAGTTCGTCACAGCAGGCCTCGGGCCGTGTCGTCAATATACCGGGTACTAATCACACTTCTGTAGGCGTTAGATCGGCTCTACTGGTGGGAAACTTTCGATTTTTATCTTCTTTTTGCCAAGACCAGCCACAAAGTTGCGGCTTCAACAGTTTAAAGAAAGGAATAAAATTACAGCTTTATACGCAATATCGTTTACTAGTGCCATAGCTAGAGATTACAGCAGCTATACATTCTAACGACGAAAAACACATTTTTATTTTCTTTTTGCAAACAAACCACAAAGATGTGGCTTCAACAGTTACAGAAACTACAACAAATAAAACTACAACAATATCGTTTACTATTGGCATAGCTAGTGAGTAATACAGATATACATTCTAACGACGAAAGACATGACAATTTTACAATGTCTCCAAGGAAAGGATAAAAACCTATAAACAACACCACCGAACTCAGCTCAACTTCTAACAACACGAAGAAAGTTGCGAACTCTTATGACTATGTAGTAGACACTAATTCCATAGTCACAGTCTAAGGTTCCATATTTGTATTCTGTATGTGTGAAACGTACGTTCCAATTTCCCCGTTGTGCGGCCTGTGAGAGGACGCGGCTTTCTGCGCACAAGCCCAGCAGTTAAACCGAGCGGCAGGACTAATGTGATAGTCACGTCAGGCTGCGGGCCTGAATACTTTATAGACTGGAGCCTTCCAATTTTCTCAGCCTCCTGATAGACGGGAACGTGACCCCCACACGCAACACCGGCAATTAGATACTACTGTTTCCGACTGTTGGAGATATATACATTTTAGAACTTGGAAAAACTCATAAGCGTATGTATTTATTTTTATTTATTTCATTCTTTGTTTTAGGAGTACAATGAACCATATAAGAAAGAGGAACAATAACAAACGTAAAAATACACGTAGACAAATTACATACAAAGTTTTAAAAAGAGCGGTACAGGCTTCGAGTAAACACATCTGAATGGCTAAAGGGTATAATGCTGAATTCTCGATGCGAGAAGGCGTGTCACAAATGAGTAGGTGAGCTATATTTATGTATATATGTATGTATCTTTCTGCTTGGTTAATGTAACTTGCTTATCCTTCATGAGCCAGGTGTGCCTGCGAAAATGATATAAACATAACACCGACTAGGCAGCGGGACTAATCTAACAGCCACGCTGTAACTGCCGGTAACGGATGAATAAGTGCACTTTAAAACCTTCCCAATTTCTTCTCCCCACTAATAGAAGCAGTGCGGTGCAGCCTCCACACGCACCAGCAACAGTTACTATAGTATGTACGGCGTGAAACCGGCAGCGGTGCGGAGCTCATTCTCACGTGAGATATCAAGGAAGCAACAAGGGACAAGAGGTGACAAAGGTTATACATTATACGCTGACTCTTGTACACTTCACAGAAAAAAAGCATATTGAGTTTAAGTGGCCTGGGCTACAGGTCTGAACCCGCTCGTTTAAAGCCTTCCAGTTTTCATTCTTCCCTCCAGACGAGAGGTGTGGCTCCTCCAGGCAACTACAACTATTCATTTCGCCGAGAAATGACAGCACAAATGCCGCGCAGAAAACTAATAAACAAAGTACAACCCTTTTATTTCACGCCGCACAGGCGCCGGCATTGGCTGCTGTAAATCAAAACGCGCACAAGTTGGCAATCTATTCACTCCAAACACATCTCTGAGCACTGTGATTTCCATTCTATATATTTCAAACGCGCGGCAGGATCCAAATGGATCCCTCATTTTTCTTCGTATCCTACCGGTCCTTTCCGTGGTACTGAATTGTAAAGAACTGTTCTACAACTACTTTTACTACATTGTAAAAACTGTTATCTTAATGTGACCAGTGCACGTGTATTACTTCTACTGTTACGAGGATTTCCATTCCTTGATTCGCACTTGGCACGCTCCATATGAACGCCTCTCCTTCTTCTGTATTCACGGGGTGACCGTTGCACGGCATCCGTATCGACACCTCCCACTCGGGTGTACCGGCAGCTGGGCCATTTATGTTAGTCGGCAGCTGCAGGACAGACGTACGGATGGCTCCTACCTGCCCTTTCCTGGTGCTGGCGCCCTCCGTGGTGCTGAAATGTGAGTGACTCCGCTACCACTAACTCTTCTTTACTACCTGGAGAAAATGGGCGTCCTGAGCTCCGTAATGTACTTTTTACGTGTTTTATCGGTTATTCTGACCTTGCATGAAAAATTTAAGCTACGTCGGTTGTAAAATTCACTTCGAACGTTTGTTTGGCACATAAAGATAGAACGGTCGGTTTGTGTCGTCCGTAAGATGTAAGAGAAAGATGTGGAAAGGATCGGGAGACACATGGAATATTTGTCCTATCTGTGATTTCTATCCAAACGGCGGAAATCAATCACAGCTAGCGAGCGGTGTAATGGTATGGAAAACTAGTTTCGTGCTGTGATAGCGGCGGAGGTCGTTACATCAGCGAGCACACACCGTTATAATTAAGATCCATTTGGTTCGAAATGGATCGGTTAATTAACGCTGAAATCGATCTAATATTGTGTACCTTTAAATTAGCTGTGTTACGATATATGTACTTCAGGTCCCCCGGAGAGCCCAGGGGTGGGTGGTGGGTGTTTGGTTGTCGATAACAGGTTTTCTTTTAGTTTAAAGTGTGGGACTAGTGGGCGATTTACGTCCGACATCATTTAATACTTTAGATAGGAGCTTCTAGGAATGGAAGAGTAGGTCTTGGATAACTGGTCGATAATGATAAAAGGTCGAGAGATCCAGAGCAGAAACATATTGGCGGGTGTAACACTCTGAGATCCCACGGTGAGTTAAGCGGGGTACACATCATGTGGCGCTGCCATAACCATTTCTGACAGCACTGGGACGTTTTTCCACGTCTTGACTGTAACAGATCGTCCCCGGGCCGTGTGAATATTCCCCGTGTCATGCGGCACTTTGCGGTGATCCATGCCAAACTGCAGGCATTCGATAGTCATCACAGAGCTGATATATTACACATCCAACTTTCCGCATGCAGCGGCAGGGAGTGAATCGAAAATGTCAAAATCCAGCTCTTCCAACGTTCATTAGATCAGTGTGTGTGCCAGGCGTGCTGGTTTAGCCGTTTGGCATCGCTGGAAACGTGATACGCTGGAGAAAACAGGTCCAATTTACACAGACATTGGCGGAGGATTGATAAGAAATGCCACAATTCAGCTCCCTTTCAGCGTTCTTAAGTCCGTACGTGTTGAGAGTATGGGGTTATCTGTTATCCATCGCTGGAAGTGCACACGGTGAATAGCAAGGGTCCAATTTACACAGGCAGTGGCAGGGAATTGATAAGAAATGTCAAAATCCAGTTCTCAATATGTCCTTGAGTTCGTGTGTGATGGGATTTGGTAGGTTATCCGTTTCGCGCCACTGGAGACGAAATGCCACAGATACAACCGATCCAACTCAGTTATAAAGGCAATGTGAGGGGGTTGATAGTAAATCCGGGTTCGAGCACTGACATGTCACCGATCTTGTGTCCTTGGGAAAGGCACTTTACACGACTTTCCTTACTTAACCCAAGTGAGAATGAGTATTGTCCTGTCCTGTATTTGTCCTCTGCGTTGATGGCGGCATGAAATAAGTTGATATAACTTGAGTGTGCCGTCACCATGTCCAGTCATGAAATGTTGGAATAAAAAAAAATCCAGCATTTGCAAACCTGTCCAGTGCATGCCAGTTTGTCAAGAATGTTGGGTCGTTCGATTCGCAGCGCTGGAATCGTAATGCGGGAACAATCACTGCTGGAACGTTTTCCGGTTGAGGCTTACAGCGGGGTGGCAATAAAAATGACGGGCGTCATTGATTTATAGGCCGTGTATTCATGAGGACCGCGGGCGCCCTGCCCTATTGATGTTCGCACGTTGGTTGGTAGACCTCGCGGATGTTCATCCTGCCTCACACAGGACAAGAGCTGTCTCCATGTTGATATTGTCAGGATTATATCGGCGACAGGAATCTGAAACGGTCTCATCTTTATGGAACGGGGATTTATGGATTTGGATGTTCGCTCAAATAAGTTTTGACAGTATCTTTTTGCTCCCAGCATAAAGTTATATCTCCAATTCTAATTGTGACAACATAGAGATGATTATCCCACTACACAAGACAGAGGCATGACTCTCACGTACACATCAGAAATTCAGATGGCTTTATGAGTGCCAGAAGTTCAACATCAAGAACATTTTATCGCTGTTCTCAAGTCAGAATGAGCGGCGTCTTTAAATATTTCACTTCTATGACTGTCGGCGCCGATTGATGTCGCGAAGTCGTCATTTTTACTACGTCTAATGGACTTTCTTCCGTGTAAAATGATAAGATGGAGACTACAACTGTGAAGGCGAAGAACTATTATGTATAATAAAAGACGCCTGCATGTAACGTTAGACGGTTTTGATGTATTCAGGCGGTCTTAAAGTCGAAGTTTTAGAAGTTGCATAACTAAATAAACTTGCGATTCTTCTACGTTGCTACCTCAGCGCGTTCCCTCACGTATGTGCCAACGGAAGGGCCAAATGTAGAGAACAGCAGAATACGTGAAACGGCTTTGCTGCGGAAAAGTTTGGTGTCTGCATCTTTGGTCAACAGGCTGACATCTTGTCGATAACAATCTCCGGCTGGGCCGGGAAGGGTGGGATCGATGTCGGGCTGTATTATCTAGTATTCTGAAGGTGACCTTTCAAGTTAGTTTGTCTTTAGAAACGTCCAAGAGACTGAGAGAGTGAGGAAAGGAATTAACATTGTAAATCATGCCCGTAGCCAGGGGGGATTCGGAACTTTTTATCTAAAGGTCCAAGATTTTTTAAGGACTGATTCGTATCACCAGCGGGGCTGGAATCGTAGAAAAACTGCTCACTTTGCCATTAGATAAAAATTCATGTCTGATTTGTCTTTTGAAATCCTCTCAAAAACACAGGAAATGCCATTTCAAATTCCTGACATTCAATTAAATTCGGGCATATAATCTTCAAGCAGTTGTAAGGATCCGGTTCTGTCTTCATGTTCTACGCGTGCCTGTTCAACATGTAAGTACGTCTGTTTTGTATTTCATCTAGATATCTTTAGAGAATGGTGGTAAGGAAAAAGTTCATTAGTAGAGAAGATGTAGATACTAGGTCACAGTGGGTCCGAAAAACACCCGACAGATACGTCTACTCTAGAGATTATCTGCCTTATGTACAGGCTTTCAACTCTGGAGATTATCTAAAGTTAGCTTTACAAGTACAGTCGGTGATTTGCTATTACTGCACGTCTGGGAAAAACTCAGCCATCCAGATCCACTGTTATTTCAGTGTCACATGTGCCATCAGAGCAGCACCTGAACTATTATAACTTTAGTCAGAAGATATATCGCCCTACAGCGAATATAATTCCCCATCGCTTCTCACGGCAGACAAAGAAGGATCCGAAACTGATGAAATATTGAACACCTCGGACAGATATTAATGACTACCATGAGAAACTTGAATGAACTTGTAAGGTAACGTTTTTGTCGTCGGCTTGAATAAACCAATTCTCCTACCGGCTGATATCGAGCCTAAAATCTTTACCTTCGTTGTGATTAGAATTCATCAAGAAACGCCCGCGGCGCAGAACAGTCGACTTGAGTTTTAAGAAGTCAATGCAGAGGGGCAGAAAGCTTTCAAAAGTCGCTCTTCCGAACTTCTGAACTCGATAATCTGACTTTCAGATTGGAATCACCACTTAAGAGACCATTCTTCCGCCTAATGACGGCAGTAAGTTGAAGGGAAAGCCCGGCCTGCCCGTGGCACTGATGTACGCCTGACGGAACAAGCAGGCCAGATGGCCCGGGGCGACAGACGGAGGACGGCGTCAGGCTATTACTGGGGTCTAATTTCTTGGACAACGACTTTTCAGAACTATTCCTATCTCTGAATGAATATATGGTCGGAACCATAACCAGGGTCGGTCACTTGCAGTTTGTAGTTTAGAATCTCACACGTCGTATTGCTGGCCGACTGACGTAGTGAGAGTGAGATATCGGCTGAGGTTCTCATAGCCAGATGCCTGACAATATCATTGATTGGATTCTTCGCTCTGCTGCTTTTGAAAGCGGTGTGGTCTGGCACCTTATGTCTTCATAAGCATTTCTATGTTAGTAGATATGGCCCTATTGATATTGGTGAGAAGCGCGAAATTGTATAACAGTATGTAGTATTATCACAGCATGTATGTAGTCTTTATTGTTATCTATAAAAGTAGATTCATTAGCTTCTTAGAACTTTTAGAACTATTACCTATTGGTGCTAAAGGATAAATGGTAGCAGCACCAACATTGTATGTATTTGTTGTAATACGTTGTACCAGCCACAATAAAGTTCTTCTATTATCTCTGCAGACATCCCAAATAAATGAGAAGAAAGGATCAAAGATAGATCACTCCCGTGTTTTCCCGTTGTGTCTGATTTTGGCTTTCATTACAGGAAGCACTGATAAAACGTTAGCCTGGAGATAGATGTTTTCTTCCGGGATTCTCGATGGTTATTAATGGTAGCTTATACCACACAGCTATATTTACCCTGATGGATCAGTTTGCAAAGCACGCTATTCAAAAGTTGGCCATTGGTCAATCAAACCTATTCGACATGTTGTTCCTCGCACTCGATATCAACTACCTTTTAACAATCTTGATGGTATCAAACAAGCAGCAGACAGATGTGGAATCTATACGATAGCGGCTGATTGGATTGAAAAGTAGGTCGTGCCAAAATAATCTCATGAATATCTACAGCATCGACGTTCAAGACGCGTAGTTTGCAAGCTGTTATGTCTGGTGTAAGTACGGCGTCTTCTGGGGAAGTGAGGATGTATGGGACCGTGTTCTTAGTTGTTGTGTTGCCTGTGTTTGTAGCGGACGCTGCCGTGTACAGGACGGTGCCCCAGTCCACAGCTGTGCTGCTCGGCCACGACGTGACTCTGAACTGTTCCCTGTCCGGACTGTCCGAGCAGGACGTGGTCAACTGGCACTGGTACAACCGGGCTTCCCAGGCCAAACATCACCACATCTCGGCCGGGAGTGTAGTGGCGCCCGAGTTCACCCGCTACTCCATCGTGGGCGACACGGAAGAAGGAGAGTTTAACTTGAGGATACAGAACGCCCGGCTGGAGGACGAGGGGAAGTACCAGTGTAGCGCCTTCTCTGTCGAAGGTGCAACAACCGTGCAGCTGTTTGTTATCGGTGAGTCCCGTTTTGACAGCATATCTTTTACAGCATTGGCTTCAACGTGCTAACAATAGCCTTCGATTTTGACTTCGACAATACAGTCTGGAAATGTCCATATTTTTCGGCTCAGAACAAAATTACTAGAATGTGAAAAAGAATAAACGTAAGGTTCGTCTTGCATCGTTGCTCGTTTGATGTCATGATGTTGACACTCACCATGGCACCATTGTTCTCATCTTATCTGTTGAACATTACACGAAGAGTAACGCATTTTGCAATCGTACAGACGGTGCGTTTCTCCCTAGCGGTTTCTCTCAAACCTGCAGCAGGTCCTGAGATAAGAATCCTCTGTGAGCATGATCATGGTGTATTCAGGATTCCCTTCGCGATAATGCCGTCCCACACAGCTGACCCGTCCTTGTGTGGACGTCATGTCCAGGTGTGGGTTGTTTTGTACGCCGGTTGTTGCCGCTTCATCGCCCCTCAATCTGGGTCGCGCTCCTTTCCCGCCAAATTGAACCCGCAGATTGGAAATGAGGGAGACGAATTCGTCCTGCCCCCACCCCATCTATTATGTGAGCAGTGGTTCAACCTCTGCTATCTATTAACGACCAACTGTTCGCTCCGACGTGTTCAGCAACGCAATCATCGAAAAGTCCCCGCTCTATCGGCTTTCGGGTCTTGTACGTATCATGAGGTACGTGTAAAGATTTCCAATGGAAGCGGTTAACTCAGTTTAATGGTGGCTGGCTCCCGCTTCCGAGTGGACAATACTTTAATTCGGCTGAATTACGGGCTGATTCGTGTCCCGTTTCTGAACCGCTGACCTACTCACTCCATCTTGCCTGATCCGCACCGTTTACCTTCTAGGCTGAGGAGAAAGCGGCCAGATGTTTGTGAAAATTCCCCCGCCATTGCTGCCGTAGTTTCTAATAGACTCCGTTGGGTGCAGGAAAAATAGTAGATTGGCTAAATAGGTCAAATTATCTGCCAGGGGAGTTAGCCGACCATAGAAATACCTTACGGATTGTGTTTGTAAAGCCAGCTTAGGTTTTACAAACCGCATGGCAAATTATTCCATCTATTTGGCCAATCTGCTATTTTTCTGGGAACCCACGGGTTCTGAAATAGAGTATATCGCTGACTTTCCTCATATGTGAATACGTAATGATGCACCCGGGCCCAAGTAATCCCACTGAATACTAGTAGCATGTGAAGGCATTATACCGTCAATAGAACCGTCAGAGATTATCGGAAAACTGTCACAAAATTTATAGAATTTTTCAACCGATCTTCCAATCTTCTTCAGAAGTAATACCCCACTTACTCCTGTCACGTGACCTAACGGACGAATCTATTCCAGCCAAATGCAATGTTTCCAGGGGTGTGTGTTTTACAAAAAGTATAATTTTGATCATATTCCCTAGAATCCCTACCAACAGCAGCGCAGGTGTGATTTGATGGGAAGATGCATGTGTCGAAGACCGGTTGTAAAACCATAACAGTCAGGATACGCACCGACGACTATTAAATGAACCTGATTGCCAAGAAGCAATTTTGATCACACCGCGTCTTCAAATTTGTCCCCTGGGTGTCCTAAACGTCCTTCTAAGTTCACATGAAAACGTAAATCAGCTGATCTGAAAACATTTACCAATCGGTATATAGATGACTCTTGACCTATTCATCTCATCGTTACAATAGAGGACCTCATGAACAGAAGAATCTATGGAAGAAATTTCAAATTCATTTACTGCTGCGATCTGGGGAATTGGAACGGCAGGCCCTGATTTACAGTAATAGCCCGAGTTTGGACGCCCATAGCAGTAATCAGTCGTCAACGTGCAGATAATCGGATTTCCATTAGCGGCAGTAGATCACGCCTGAAGCCGGGTGGGTAAAACTGTCTGCAGGGTATATCTATGACACAGCTGCCAAAGTGTACAGCATGATATAGTCAGGCCTGCGAATGTGCAGGTGTATCGTGTGTATTTCGTGTCTGTAATTACATATTTACCGGTTTCCACCAGACTCTTTTGCAGGCTGAATAAACAGCCAGCTACATTCCTTTTAAGCCGATTTCTACTATTTTTTCAGCCTGCAAAACTTCGGAGTCTGATGGAGACTAGCGCGAACCCCTCAAAAACCCTTGCCAAACCTCCTCGCGAGGTGCTTTTTGAAAGTCCGATTTAAACCCCTAAAAAACCGGTTAGTTTGCGTTCACACCAGGTTAAATAAAAACTGGGTTTTCTCCGCTAATTATTTAGCGGTTTCAACGGTATTTTTAAAGCCTGATATGAACGGGTCATAGCTTAATCGTTCAGAATGGTGGACAATATTCACGTCACAATCACGTGACAGCGAACAACCTATCCTAGCCTTGGTGCTGAAAAGGGTTCGCTCCAAATAAGCTGATCTTGACGACGTCAGATTGAGTAACTGTCTAAATCCCTCTGACCCCTCAAATATTAGGCCTAGCCTTCATCGGGCCTTCCTAAAGGGTTATGGATAGTAAGACTCGGCAAAAATAGGGTTAACGATTGGCCAGGGGAGTAAGGGTAAGGGTGACATTTCCCCTCGCGGGCGAATGAACTCTGTGGTGACCAAACTCCCATGGAAAATTCTTCTCCCTCAGCCCTGGTTGTAACTCCGATGGGGACTATTTCAGATCACATGATGTACATCAAAGTTACAACTTAAAGTAAGAATAATGTTGATAATGGGGGATGCTTATCACTGCTTCGTGGAAGGCCACAACCTTTCGTGTTAGTTAATAGCATATTTATTGATCTCGTGCTGTTTTGGAAATGCTGTAGTTTGCACAGATTCTGCGATGTGGCGTTTTTAGTTACACCATCTTAGAGATAGTGAGCAACATTGAACAATGGCTACCAGATTTTTTCCATGGCATGGCTTTAACTAAAGTATCTACATATCTGGCGCTAGAAATATTGTTACCATGTCACAATTGCACGAAAGTTTACCTCTAAAATAAGTTATTCTATATAATATTAGATATTTAAGTTTTCTGCAACAAAGACCATATAGTTGTAATCACAATCATCGACCTCGTCCATACTTTGCTGATCTTTGCCATCATTCGCAGGCAATGACAACTACCATACCACTCATCGGGAGTCTATGCATCTTTCTCAATCATTGGGATAACATCTGTTACCTCAATCGTAGTATTTAAGCAGATGCGTGGCGTGGTCTCAAACTTGTGGCCATTTTTCTTGCTTACTACGCTACGTCCTCAAGCTCTTAGAAATGGAATCCACACCTCGCATCTGCTTGGGAAGCGCCTTATTCTTTCGTTAAGACATGATGCAGTTCCTCCCTGCAGTTCCACCAACAGTCGTTAGGATCACGGGAAACCTGACTCCGCGGGTGGTGGGTGAGGGGCTGGTGCTGTCATGCCGCTCGGAGGGAGGGAGCCCCATCCCCCGCCTGTCCTGGTACAACGGCACGGTGCGCAACCCCCAGTCCGACCACGCCTTCATCATGGACGCCGAGACTGCCACGGTGGCCGTCAACCTGCTGATTCCCTCGCTCACCAAGTGGGACAACGGAGCCAACATCAGCTGTGTGTCTGACCAGGGCTTCCCGGGCACGGTCCAACCAAAGGCCGCCTGGACAAGTCTGGTGGTGTACTGTAAGTACACGGTGTTGATCTTTGTGATTATTGTTCTAACGCGTTAATTTGTTTCATTTGGTCTAATCATGCCATATAACTGTGGATCCCATGTCCGGACCATGTACCAACAATTCCGCAATGGCCAAGTTTGGTGGTTTGTCAAGTTAAGAAGCATTCAGAACTACCTTGTAACAGAGTTAGTTATGACGGACCGATGGTTCCTACTGTGTATTTCGGTCCCATAATTACAGAACACAACTGTAGTAACAACTTTGATTACTCTTTATCACAAAAATGTCTATCAAAGTCACAAAGTTTTTGTTACATTATTAAAGATAACTTTTATTTCCTAAAAGTATCGATCTTCTGCTTGTACATCAGTTGCAATTATCAATATTTCATGGAAAGCTTGGGATAGCTATGATACCATAAACGAACCCGCGCCCGGCTTATAAAACAATCTCAGAAGAAATCGAAGAAGACCGTGTTTATGAGATGACCTCGCCCGAGGCGGTAGTTGACGGGGGCGGGTGGTTTACGGGGTATCGATGTTTGGGGTTTGGTATGGAAAGGTAATATCATGTTGTAAGCCTTTTAATCAACTAACATGACCGCAGGCCATGGCTTAACAGTGTATCATATTCCCAGCTATTCTCTTATGTATAGAAATAGTGCTGCTGGCTTTAAAGGCTTAGGGGATAACAGTGTCTCGTGACATTAGAATTCATCGCATTGAACCTTTTTGCGCGAAGTTTCTCGTATTTTCCAATTAAGTATGTAGCAAACTGAGAAAGTAGTAACCATAACTTATTTTACAACTTTTTGTACAAAATGCCCTGCGGCCTATAGAGGGTTAGCTATGCCTCTTTATCCTCTAGTAAACTTATGTGCATATACATTTCCTTTCTTGGTTTCTACGTATAAGTTAATTAGGAAAAAGTTCAGAAACTGTTAGGCGTGGCACCGCTCCAACTCTATACTTGGTGAGCGTGGCTAGAACTGTTACTACTGTACCACCAGAGTAGGCCAAATAGCAGGAAATGGAGTAATAAACCCCCACAAGCCGAGAGGAATCCAAGAAGCCAGCGGCCGCCTGCTAAACGTCGTATATTGCAGAATAAAGAATATCGATCGGAAACACATGGCCGTAAATCGGCCGGGCGGAGAATTGTTTTAGACGTTCTCCTGGGACTATAACTCAGCCGTGCGCTGGCGGCCATTTCACCGGCGGCCAGGCGGTATGTCATGTGTCTCCTCTCCGCTTCCTGGCCGCACACGTGATGCGGGTCTTTAGAAACACGGGAGTCGTGATTCAGTGCACCTTCAATACAGGCAGACAGTTCATCTCAGTGAGAAACTTCCCGTGGATTCTGTTTCTTATTCTGTCCGGTGATAAAAAAAGAACAATATACGACGGTGCGGCAGGGGGCGATACATCCAGTTATTACACCTGTAAAGGCGACGGTACAGGAATGCAGATTTTATGGCGAAGCCCCTGGAATTTACTAGTTCACGATGTTGTGGAAGGATGATTTTTATGTCAGCTACCTTTACAAGGAGAATTTAGATTGAAAATTTCTTGACCCAAAGAGTCAGACAGGGAGCTGGTATTGTATCAAAGAGTACGAAACTTTGTCACATGAGATGTACGGATGTACCTGTATTTCTATGGACGACTTGTCATGCCTAGTAACTTCAGTTGGAAACCCGAAGATATAATTCAACTTCTATTCCATTTTTAAGACTATAAGAATCATAGTACTGTAAATTGATACAAACGTATGTGTACATAGGGAAACACATTAAAGAATCTTTAAACCTTAGAGACCTTACACGTTATACAATAGTTGAACATTTCTTGTTGCCGCTGACATGTACTAGTACTGTAGTATTCTGTACCTAGTTTGCCGACATAATTTCATTAATTAATTATATATTCTGTACGTAGGATGACTTTATTCATACATGTATTTAGCTTTGTCAGATCGTTAGTTGTAGAAGACCATACAAAAGCCCCTGTACTTTCTGTAGTCAATAAAGACTCCTCATGTCCGCCTACTGTAGACCCACCCGTAGTGACTCCGGATCGCCCTGCAGTCCGAGTGGCGGAGGGACAGTCTGTCCAGCTGTCCTGTCACGTGAACAGCAGTCCCGTCACGCACGTCACGTGGACACGGCTGACCAATGGCGAGCCGACAGACATTGCACACAGGTTAGCTCTGTTGGCAGCACAAAACGAAACGAGAGTCAAATATACCAAATAAAGAATCCCTATGAACCCATAATCGTGTGCTAGAAAAGGCGATTGCTCTTGGAAAATTTGACCACTTCCTTCTCCTATATTCCGGTAGATACCCCAATGGCTGTGTCCTCTACCTATATGTATGTGGAAGACCTATCTATCTAATGATATGTGTTCTAATCCTTTATTCCAGCTCTGATGCCCTCCACATGACGAACGTGTCCAGGACTGATGCCGGGCTGTACGAGTGTCAAGCCGACAACGGCATCAAACCAGCGGCGGCAGCAACGGTCCTTCTGGACGTCTCGTGTTAGTTTTTATGGTTACCTTTTTTTACAAGAAATAACGGATATGTTTCCAAAAACGCTAGTGAATTTTTGCTTTTTTTTTTGCTTCAAGAGAAAAAGCGAGAGACATATATTAAGTCTTGATCCAAACGCCTAATACTTCCTCGAGGGCTAACTTAAAACAACTTACTTATAGAGATATAGTCGCTAGTCCTAGGTGAGTAGGCTAGCTTTTTTGCCGATCGACGTCCATCCATGTAATCATCTTAAATCTTTAAAGTCGTTCTCAAGGACAGTTCTTTTATCTTGGCATTTTACAGTTCACTAAATCCTGTCTGTTTTATGTTGTTTGTTGTCTGCTTTATGTTTTATGTATGTTTTATAGATGCTCCTACGATACGTAAGACGTTCGACTCTGAGATCAGCGTCTTGTACGGCCAAGACGTCTTGAGACTGGAGTGTGTGGCTGACGGGAACCCCAAACCTCGGGTGTGGTGGAGACGGAACGACACCAACAGTCTGTATGAGAACCCGCTCACCCTGTCTCCCATGGACTACAGAGCGGAGGGGCTGTACGAGTGCGTGGCGCTGAGTGCTGGGTTCATTGGCACCAGACGGAGAACCTTCATAAACGTAATAGGTACGGGAACTGCAATAACCATAATATCTGTTCAGAAGCTGTCATGGAATCATCCACCAAGATTCATGGCTTAGTTTTATCACAGCTGTAAAACAGATAACAGTGGCAATAAACTCTGATTACGCGCAGGGGAGTAACGAAACTTATTAGGCTCGTACTAAATTCTGCCACATGTAATACAGGAGGGGGTGACTAGTGACATGTAAAGAAACGTGGGTGGTTATTCCTACAGCAAAGTAAAAAGTAAACTATGAAATAAACAAATAGGATCAAAAGTACAACCGAAAACTAAAGAACTTCACAAAACGTATGTATCTGTATCGGACTAACCGGTGCAACACATCAGTTTCGCAGGCACGCGGCGCGGCGGCAGCTAGCTATATTACACCGAACGACTTGTTACACTCAATCTTTGCACATGTAATTGAAGAATTTGTTTAAAGCTTTCTAGTGATGATGCCCCAACGTAGATAAGGTCACAGTTTGTTGCAGTTGGTGACAATGTCCTCTAACTTCCTCTCCAGGAAGACCAGACGTGCTGGGCGACACGGCCTCCATCTTTGCAGACGAGGGACAGGAAGTGACGTTGACGTGTGAGGTCATGTCCGACCCGCCCGCCGACCCCGTCCAGTGGGTGTTCCGGAGTCACAGCGGGGACGAGAAGCGCCTGGATCCCGGGAAGGACGGCCGGGGCGTGAAGGTGAAGACTGTGGCGGGAGACACCAGACAGGACGTCCTGACTATCTGTAGGATAGACGCCTCCTACACGGGAACGTACGTCTGTAAGGCAACTAACGTGTTCGGGACGGACCAGAGACAGTTCAGAGTTCACATCAAAAGTAAGCTGTCACTCCACTGTATACAGACATGAAACTCAGCATTCGCGGAGTGCACATCATTGTCGCCTTGAAGGAACTACTGTCTCATAATAAGAGATACTCTTATCTAGATTGGTAAGGTATCATAAGGTTTTGATCTTTTGGTGTCAGTTTCCGATGTTTTTTTTTATCACGACACTAGTGTGTGTCAAACTGTCAATACAGGAAATTCAAAACAGTTGTATTATGTAACAGTGTGGTGTCTTGTAGTCTGATGGTTCTGTTGTGACGACTCCTTTGATCTCTTGTTGACAGTCTCTAGCATGTTGCTGATCGTGACCCTCTGTACCTCCGCTGCCGCCGCTACTACCGTGCTGATCATCCTCGCCTTCTGCCTCCATCGGCTGGTCAACAGATTCAAGCGTTCTGGTAATCTAGAAATATGAGTTTTTCCACATCATCTACGTCTGGAAATAAAGTCATTTTGGCTTCAACCACAGGTTTCATCAATGTGCGTTCAGAAGCGATTTTTTTATTCAAGACGACACGATATGTTGGCTTTGTTGCTTTTATGCCATCTGCATCGTTCTACTGAGCTGTGATACCTTTGCTGCAGATGTTCCGGCAGACTCGAGAAACTGTGGGGGTTCGGAGACAGACAAGACTTCCAGTGACCTTTCACCCGGTCCGAGGTGACGTGTAACACTAGTTTGATACTCTGATACTCCGTGTCTCACTTTCTGACATTGATTCCCAACCTCAACATAAAAATTCAAACATTACATCTATATCCTAAAAAGCATGCTTTTAGATGTTGAATTATTTTTTTGCGTTGTCATATGCGTTAGCATTGATGAATTAAACTTAAAAGCAGGTTGGAATCGTCTAAGGGCCCAGACCGGCCGATGAAACAGCGGACCTGTTCAACCCTGCTGTCCGACAACAACGTGTCATGTGACGAGCTGGTCTTTCCGTGTAAGTAGTTCACAGGGTGTTGCATGTGGCGCCATATTTGAAGGTTAGATAGATTCAAGTTGACGACTGGCCATCCGAAACACTCAAGCATACCGAGAAAGGAATTTATTACAGTCTTTAAACAATTGCAGAGACAAACATCAGTCACGTTTAAGTAATGAAAATAACGAAATTAAAAGATACAGCGTTTCTTATGAAATGGAATTGCTCGATATTTTTACAGATAGACTCTAAACTATAGAGGATTTTCATTATAATCCATAATAATTATCATATGAATCTCGGCGACCAGGTGTTGGTAAACTGATTAAGTAGCTGCAGCATCTTGGTGTGTTTAACAGACAAACACTGTAATCCAACATGGTGAATGTCAAAAACCTCCAAACCCTTCTTCCATGACAGGATCCAATAACAACAAACCATACCTGGGTCACGTCGGTCTCTGGTGTGAAGATATACGTTATATATGTCGTACTGAATTATCTTCGTCTTTGGAACATATCTTTAGATACAGCGTATTGGTATATTCCTATTTCCAGGCTTGTATATGTATGTCTGGGAAAGACACACCAGCGAGATTGTTGATTCGATATTACATGGCATGGAATACAGTATACAAACGACAAGGAAATAAACCAGGAGATCTAACACATCTACCTCCCCCCCCCTTTACTCCAGGGTGTCCAGGGCATCATCCTAACCACCCCCGTGTAAGCAGGCAGAGGCAACTGGAGAGTGCCATGAAAGCCAAATATCTGGCTGAAACAAGGGTAAAGTAAACGTCTGTGTATGGTCTTAACGTATCTTATTAAACGTACACAGACTGAAACAAATATACGTTTCTTAAATAAAAGAAATGTGTTGATTCCTTACATCCACATTTACGTCGTATTGAAGAGCATCACTGTTCAAGTCTCATTTTATTTCATACCTGTACAGAAAGTGGCGACCAGAAGACTGGATGACGCAGAGATGATGCGTGTGTTCAGAGCGGATCCCACTGCACACGTCGAGATCACGGACCAAATCTCACGAGAACGTGCGAGACTTTCGCCCTGCAAGCTGCCTCCAGACCCAGGGCGGACCAAAGAAAACTTTGAAACTATATCGCACCCTGCATCTAAACTCGATTCGTTGGTTGAGAAGGGTGGATGTAGTGTAGATAGCGGGGATATCACAAGAAATGAAAACGACAGACGCCCCAGATCAGGTTGTAAATCTCGACACTGTAGATTGTTGTTCAGAGAGACAAGCGCTGCAGATACAAATCCGGAAATGCGGGTAGCCGGATGTTCATAGCATATATTGCAATATAAAGGACATAAAAGCTAAAACTCTTGGAATCGTACCCGAGGGGAACAAAAGCCTTTTATATGACAACGGAGTGGTGCAAAGTAACTGGATTAGAAAGCCACAAACTGTCAAAAAAACGTACTATCATAAATGTGTTATGTAGCGGCGTGTTGGACGATTTAATGCACCCACCTGTGTAATGTGCAGTGGCCATGTTTTCTGAGGTACAGTAAACGTATTACAAGCATGAACAATAAACCTTTTGCTGCAATAAACCCCCTGCATACACCTACCTGATCATATTTCTCAGTGATTATGCACGTTGTAAACATTCAAAGTGTTTGATTTCATCTCTCCTTTCACAAAACGTCCAATAAGAGTCTCACTGTTAAGTATTTGCTGCAATTCATTAAGTGTGTATATGAGTCCTTGTGCTACTATTTCAGCATGTAGGCTTTTGTAAATCACTTGTTTTCAACACATTAGTCTTCTCGTTTCCTATTCCACAATTACACGCATTGGGACTATCATATTGTCCATAATTGTAAACGTCATATTTCCACATATTCTATTCATAGGGCAACATGTGAATGTGTACGTTTCTGTATACCCATGATTTTGAAAACGCTGTAATAGTAGCTACACTCTTGACTGCTTTTTCAAAGGTAGTCGACAGGTGCGCTTTTCAACAGCATCACAAACGCATGGTATATTTGTGAGCTATGCCATACTTCGATATGATACTCGAACTTACAAGTCCACGTCAAGAGGCCGGTCACAACAACATCCAACTGTTTGAGGAAACTTTGTATTTTGGTCTTCTGACTTGGCTGTGTAGCTCATGGATTGTGGGCACAGCACAAACAGAAGATGTAGAAACTCTGTACAAAATGAAGCTTGGTATAAGAATATATATATATATGAATTGAATACAAGTTATTTGCAGTTACTTTAATTGCATGAGCACAAGTAATATTTTCATATGAGAAGCTTTTCATCTATAGTACCGAATGTTCGTAGGCATAGCTATATTTGTCTTTCCTATTCGGCATTCAAGTTGTGGAACTGATAGATGTTAAACTTGTCGAAGATCGCCGGTGGCTAGCTGTGTTTATCTGTACTTCGATAAGAGAAATATCTGCATCGTTCTGCTGACGAGATTTATGAACGATATTCCGTTGGTAAGAAATCAATGTTGATTGCATTACCCTTTACTGTGGAACGTTTCCTTGACTTACACAATACATAATCACGGGGAGAAAGACATCAGAGGCGTCGGAATGTGAGCCCTCCTGGATACTACAGTCTTTCCCTTTGTGCCACAAGCACGTTTATTCTCCATTATTCCGCACCAAATGAGCCATGGCAACATTCCCATGATTATATTGAACTCTCGCGTGACTCGAGTGGCGCCATTTGAAAACGGTCTCATCTCCAGAGTTGGCCAACTTCGCACGGATGTGATCCCGGACATCGCTACTGATCAGCCACGGGTGTTTGGACGGCCAATTTACATCCACACGGATACTTTCACTCTTAATAACGCTCTGATCTTCACCAAGGTCAATGCAACGGTAAATTGTATCCAGAGACCAAGGCTGTGAGAATAGGTCAGGTATGGATCATACACCGCATTACTCCCACATCGTTTGTCTCTGCTAATGGATATTGCAATGCCACAGAGATAGTTCGGTCGGTACATACTGAACCCAATGCCACTCTGGCTTCTCTGTGTTTTCATTTCTACTGAGACAATTGCAATGTCTAAAAGCCTTAATAAAACATGTTGTCTATCACACTGTATTCCCAACCATGCCCCAGGATAGTCTACGGGACTTGTTTCATCAGGCTGGATCATTGCTGTCCACAGTTCAGTGTGAGGCAACACTTGATGACTGGATATTGAACTTTGCAGTGTACAGTAGACAATAAGACTGGCCCCGCTTGCAATATCATAGTTCAGTGATTAGCGACACAGTTCTTGACCATAATATGGTGGTGGGAGGGGGTACGAATCTACATACACGTAGATAAAAATCAGGTTTCCTTTACAGGTGGTGCGAACTTATACAATAGTTTCTCCAGGTATACCGAGAACAGTATGACTAATGGGGCACGGACAGAAGCATCGGCCAAGTACATCCATTTCAACCTGCGCATCCTGTCTAAAATGACCACTTTGTATTCCTTTGTTAAACTCAATTGACCCCATAGGACACGGCAGCTAAATTGAGGCTTTGACTGAAATCGTTGGGATTTTCTGCAGTAATAGAATCCTGGGCGATCGGTGGGTTCGGCAGCTTGGGGTAGAGCCGATTTCAATCACAGCTTATCTCCGCACAGTTTCTGTTCACAGAGACGTCAATACACTAACTCCCCACCGGTGCTCCGGCACGCCGCAATCAATACCACCATTCAGCCGCTGATGGAACCACGATATCACACCAACAGAGTATCAGGCGTTCCTCAAGCGATAGCCTTTATACGATGAAAGAATAATGAACCGATTGTCGATATTGTTCACAAGCGGAATGCAATCGTTCTGATAATTGTAGGACTGTCTTGAGACCAAAAACATTTCTTTCCTTTAAGACACTTTCAGCGAGCTCACTTGGGTATGTACAAATGTGGCCATTGATCTACTGCAAAACCAGCAAGTAAGAACATCAAGGGCGCTATCAGAGTTGCTTCATAACATCGTTCCCCATTTTCCAACTTAGCCAATACATACATGGCCACATCCCACAGTTTCCGGAAGAGTACTTACTGTGCGTCTGTGTAAGAAGACTGTTGTATATGGTAACCGCCCAACAATTGACCAAAGTATGATAAGTGTACCCCTGTTACCGAATCCCTTGCCTATGGAAAAGGGTGACCATGATCGATGTACAGCATGAATGGCTAATGCCAGCAGATAAGACCCCCGGCAGCTCTTTTGAAGGTTAAGGTCGTATGATGTCACGTTTTACACCTGCTACTCTTTGAAAATGTGACTACTTTTAACTTTGCCCCTGCTCGGCTCAGGAAACTTGTCACATGCTATGAATCGTAGCCATAATGGAGTGCCTATTACTATTATTGTGAAATAGATGTCCTAGTGTTGACAGCGTGAGTCATATGCCAGCACAACTAGATAACTCAGGAGTGCAAAAAAAATCTCAGGGGTACAGTACAGAATTTAGGGACATAGCATAACATCAATAATGATATTATTGCTGTAGTTTTCGAACCATCCATGGAATTCTGCAGCGGAACAAGTTTATCTTGACTGACAGCTTGTCGAGTTGAATTTTTGTCAGTGTGCTGATCCCTACATCTATTCAATTTTGTGATGGAAGTTGAGTACGCCTGTAGGTAGGCTTGTGGGATGAATGTCTTATAGTGGTCCCCAAAGAACGTCATCCCCCTTGTTATATACACAAGCAGCGTGAGGGGACTGTTGAACGAAATGCCATCTCCTGGAATGCCATTATACGTGAACCATGTGATGTATTATTTCCTGGTTCCGTAACAAGTTAATCTTCGGGTACGAGACGCAGGATGCAGTGAACGGTATCCTCGTGACTGTTGGACAAAATGTCATCTCCTGCTAGGCCATGGTCAAATTCACAAAGTCAAGTCAACGCGCGGAATGATAGAGGGTTTTATCCTTATCAGCGACTCGCACGAATGTGTGCGGCAGCCTCAGTTGTACATCATACAGGCAGAAACCCCAGGCCGGTAACACCAATATCCGTACATCATATATTGGAAGCCGGTAGCACCACTACTGTGATTACAACCTCCTGTGGCCTGGACCAGGGCTGAAGCATACAATTCCCTCATGGCAAATATTCTTATATCGACTTCAGAATCGAAAGTTGCACTATTTCGCCGATAAAACTCACGGTCACCCGAAGATCACTTTAACCTCCCCATGTGAATGAGAAGGGTCAGCGAAAAGGGCGATAAGGTTTGAAGTCTGGAGACATCATCGATTTGGTACATTGCAGCAAAGACCAATTTTACGACAGAGTACGTCCATGATTATAAACGTATCGAAAAAAGTACAAACATGTGGTGTAAGGCAATGAAATGGAAAAGTTACTGCGTATCCAGTAATGAAATCAAATCCACAGAATACCATTCAGATTTTAAAGGAATCAGATATTTTGGTTATGAAAGAAACAAGTCGAGTATCTATGAAGCCATTTATCTACGCCTATACCTTTACCTATTTTGTAATGCACATTTATAGAATATTTTACATTTCCTTGAATGATAAGTCTTTGTTGAATGCTGGCCCACGGGCACCATATTACAACATAATGTCTTGACATATAGACCTACTATACATATATATTACAAGCCTATTCGTTCAAATTGATGTCAATATTGCAAAGATGAGATAGGGGATTTAGTCTTTTGAAAAGAAGACCATGTATGTAAAGCCTAGCTCATACATGTACCAGCTAGATCCTTAAAAATTGATGGACAAATTCAGTAGTCTGTTAAGTTTATTCTTTCACTTATGGCTCGGTTTTGATTGACAAGCACACCAAATAGTGCGGTAGACATCCGTAACATGGAAGTATGTGCTAGAAAATGTGACCTCCATTACAAGCATATTTTAGATAGTCAAAGCTTGTTTCTTTGGATGTATCATCAACAGTGGAACAGGGATGTACAGACTGCAAAACTAATCCTTGCCTAATGCATATTTCATTTGATTTCATCGTTACCTTGCTGAACCCTTGCCTGGCTGAATGTACTTTCCTTTTGTGGATGTCCCACTGTTGGCAATGTTCAATCAACACATCAAAGTATGCAGGTCATTCTAATTATTGCTGCTACTGATTAATTATAGCTGAGATGGGTAGAGGGTTAATGTTTAATGTTTATACATTATATGTAGCAACGAGAGCAAATGTTTCACAGTATGCACCAAGGCAAATGATTCACCTTGATGTCAGACCCTAGTTTGTCCTGTGGGAAGTCTCGTAATTAAAGTAGTAATTAAAGAAATTCCAATCAACTCTGAACAAATGAGTAAATAACATCAAGACTGTGAATTACAATGAAGCAAAGCAAAGATGCACTGGAGCTACTCGTGGGTGTATCACAATGGGAACATGTAAAGCAACACGCACGTACTACAAATATCGACTAGATTCTACGATATGACGACGGAAGCGTTATTAGTTTTAATAAAGGCTGCTCTTTAATAATTGCTTTCCTTCAATACTTTGTCTATAATAGTCCTCAGAATGACTGACTCAAACAACGACTGCTTTGAAGAGTATCAAACCGAAGTACATACAATTCAAGCAGAATTTACGCCAATCAACCGAAAAGTAAATGACGCCGGTAAAATGATTGAAAAGAAAGGTCTCTTCGGAAATCAAAACATTTAGCTTCTATGAAGAAGGCAGGAGTCTCCGACATTACGGGTACTGCAATAAAGAAACGAATTGACTTTTAAGTTAAAAGAGCCATCTGCTTGTGACTACGAACCGTTACGGGTGTGAGTAAATCAGCCAACAGTATGGTTCTCTAGATTAAAAGCTGTCTAAAGAGGCGTAACGAGTTATTGACTGCTGTGAAAGCAAAGTAATGTTTCATTCCACCCATAAGTCGGCAGAGCATTGCGGGCACTATGAATGGAACCAACAGGTAAAGAAAACGTCGGTGGCTTTTGACAACAGCAATAATCACCGTGTAGAATTTACAACTGACGATACAGAAGGTGACAAAACAGTGGGCGGCAATGGTAACCAGATTGCCAGGATCGGGAGGGAACCGGATAGTCTGAATAGGGGAGGGGGGCATTATTCCATCAACTTCAACAATATTTACAACGACTCTCAGAAATTTGTCACAGATCTTGTTCGTAAGGTCCAAAGGTCTCATCAGATAAAGTAAGACACTGCATAATCAGATCACGTACCAGGGGAGGCCGTCACACCTCTACGGTGTTAGTTTCTTAAGTTACTTAAGGTATCAAATGCTACATTTAAGGAGGTATCACGATAAAGCTTCAGCAGGTCACACGCCTTGAGTGAAATAGCATTAACTTGACTAGTCCGATAATATAGCTATGATCTGCTTTCTCCTATGGCGATAGTCCTCTGCCGCAGACATCCTGGTGTGGGCTGTTCTCCAGTCAGTCTCGTGTCTTCCAGTGTCGATTGTCTGCAGGGAAATACAAAAACAGGTGAAACACAGGTGTGAACAGCCCGATAAACGAAGCATATCAGCATCACGTTCTCTTAGGAATACGTTGTAAAGTTTTTAAGAGCATGATGAAAAAGTTACAAATGGTTTTACTTTTAAATTACTTCTCTCACGAGTTCACAGTTGATGGATCCCGAGTTCATAATTGAATGCCGACCACATTTTCATCGTGCTTTATATCGCTGTACCGTTAAACACCGGGTGGTCAAAGCTAAAAAAATATGGATAGGGTGGCGGGATTCGTAAAACGGGTAGATGGATCACTTCAATCACTTCGTTGATGTTCTCTTCCTCCTGACTTACTACCGTCTGTAATGCTGTATGGCGTCTCGTCCATTCAAACAAGTGTTATCCGGCCTTACCATAACTGCCTACTTCATTCGGTGGTTAGAATAGGACTTTGGTCAGAGGCATTCTGGAGCAATCCGGGATTTGCGGAAACTACCCTCTTTATCATGTGGTTGGGCTCACCATTTGGCCAAAAGTTGTAATAGAATCTTCGCTTCTTTCAAACATTTATCTCCTGGTAGCTCAAGTCTGTCCATTGACATCCCAGCCAGGGTCACACTCTCACCCCGTCCTCTCCAGCCACCTCGCCAAAACGTTTCCAATGTTCAATAGCGAAGCAGCAGGCAAGCAGAACACGGGGCATCCCTCAGTGGTTACGTTATCATGGCACGTTATTGATTTCCTAACTTCCGCAATAAGCCTTCTTTTCATCAACCCCGACTGTGGAGTTTGAACGGAAATCCCCCCGGCACCGTGTGGATGACGTGTTAAGAAAGACCGATAGGGCCTCTTTAAAACGCTGGAGATTTGTAAGTGTTCAAGGCGCTGATGTCAGACCGAGAGGTTAGGAATAGTGATACATGTCACCAATAGAGATCTTTCATCAAACAGAAACTGTTAACGAACAAACTTACACTCAACCAACAGGGTTTTGTGATTGCTTACAAGGCAATCTCATGTGTGTATCCTCTTTCTTCTCCGTGTCTACTGACATCAGAGCGTCTTGACTGATAGAAAGAAATGATCAGCATATACAATATTGATCATATCAAAATGCTGGTGTTCAGCTGCCAGCAGCATGAGCTGAATATTTGCTTCACCTTGTGAATATCAGCAGGATCTGCAACTATACGTAGCAAGAGATATTAGTTGCCTGAGTTATGATATCTCTAAGCTGGGGGATGAATAGGTAATCATAAAGCGTCCCTATGAATCTAATCTCCTACGGTAATCTACGACAGCAATGATGCCATGAAAATCCGTCCTGTAAATCATGTACAGTGGATGAATTATTTCCAGCACTGCTGAGCCAAACAACTGAGGTAACTTGGTTTTAGACAGTCAAAAACAATACAGAGGGTAGAAAAAAGGCGTGAAAACCTACACAAAATATAAAAATGTACGATTCCACAAAGACGAGGGTGTTACCGGCTTGCCGAGGCCGTCCACGCGGCGGGCGGAGCGGCAGAAGGTGGCGGCTCCATCAGCTCTTGGCTGGTGCTGCTTCTGGTCGGGGAGTCTTCTGTCGTCGGTCGGCCTCAGCCGCTCCGTACTGGAGTAATCAGGCACTGCTTCTGTCCACACATCTAGGGAGGGGGGACGTACGAATGCAAAGAAATATTATTAGGACCCTATCAACATGTACGGAAATTGCTTAATGCAATGAGCTTTGAGTGACAGGCAACAAGTGAAAATGATTGAGGTCACAAACTAGTTGAAGCAACTGGATAGAGGCAGACGTCTAGCATCAAAGTCTAACAGGGGTTACTCGATATTCCTCATTTACATATCATTATTTACAATTCATATACTCGTTCATATACTGGTTATACTTGTCTTCAGACTCATTCTCAGTTACTGATGAAATATAGCGGAATCTATCTGAAACGATTGACTCTTCGGGAATTTATCCCCAACTGCTCAATTTGTTTTTGATTACGCGTTGTGTTCTAACTAGATGCCTAATCTACATCGACCAACCACATAAATTCTGCATACGTGGCAGAGTAGGTAGTTACCTGAGCTTTATACAAAGTGACAAGCAACAAGTGAAGTGATTGAGGTCCCGAAATCAGGATCCCCATTACGTTGATGAGGAGCTTATGCAGCATACGATGTGGCAAAGGCTACATTTTATTTGCAACTCAAAGCTACGTGATAGATAAGATGAGACGAGGTCACATCACATATGTGAGTTGTATAATCTCAAGACGACATTGTGCAAGATTTGCACATCGGTCTAATGGAATCTGCCTGTCCCTTGTATGTCAACACTACTCCCTTTGCTTACACGACGTGTGGTGCTCGGGCTGAAATCTGCCCTGCGGCAGTTTGGCAGGCGGAAGCGGCTTGAACCGTCTCGCCATCAGGTCTCTTTGGCACAGGTCTGCTTTCTCGGGGTCGGCTCTGGCAACAAGACATTAAGACCGTCCATATACGTGTTCAATGATGAAATTGCCACGGATAATGGTAGCAATTAGACATATAAAATCGCATGAATGGACTTCTGAATTACCATAGACAGAGTTTTACCTGATTAAAGATAAAATCTATCTGATTGTGGACAGACATACAAGAAGATTAATTGTACATAGACTTAAGTGCGTTGGTTGAATTTTGCCACATGTTATACATTAACCTGTACCTGATGTCGAATGAAGACGGCAGTGAGATCTCGTGATCCACCTGTTGTGACGTGTAGAGTCCCGGATCGATGTCCGGTCTGTCCGCTGTACCTGTACGGGGTCACAGGGTCAACAGCAACTGTGATTTGACTTCAGTAGGAATTTCACATCTTCTCCATTGAGCATGTGGTGCAATTATTGTGTTTTGCGCACGCTGCGTCAACACGGCAAAGAAGTATGGCATAAGTCTTTGCCAGCATCTTGCATCAAAGCTTAGGTAGAACAGCACGAATTTCTTCCTAAAACTAACGAAGATTAAGCATGAGGAGTCCCGACCAAAACATCCCTACATTAACCACACGTTGTGCGTAATCTTCACAAACCATAAAACTTTCAGTATCTTAAGTTAACTTTCGACGACGAACTGGCAAAGTGTTGACAGCACACTGTGAGCGTACATCTATACACATACATTATACAGGGAAGCGGAAACAAACGCCATGAGCTCGAGGGTTTTGGTTCTTAAGTGGGTATTTAAGATCCATGTGACGTCCCAACGACGATTCGTCAGTCTTCCGGGATTTATTTTCAGCGAAGATGTAAGTCGTCGTACCTTACAGCACGATAAATACCTGTGTTGGAAGCTGTAAAGTGTCTAGTAATGGTGAAATGAATCATTTGATGTACATAATATATCAAAACTTTGTAGGATAACACTCTAGTATCACCAGTGTAAAAATGGCTTTCTGCTGTAAAGTAGCTACTTTGGATTTATGCGCCTTCCGCACGACAATCTTTCTTCTCAAATCGCTTAACGTAAAAAAGTACGACGATAGCTCAAATGCCCTTAAGTGAGTAGTTACGGTAGAATGAATGTTCAAACGCGCCGAATTCGCCATTGTAATCATCAGGCTATTAAACAACGCGGCTTCAGCACGGCGGAAACGGTCTCCGCGGCGTGCTATAATCACAATCTGCACAAATGCTCGCGTAAATCTTGCCACTTTCCACAAAGCTGCATTCGTGGTGCAAAGTGTTTATGGTAATGTGTATAGACTACCTACTAGCAGTAGCGAATGATGCGGCATCCATAAAATCTAGTGAACAGTAGAAAAGTTTCGGATTGGTAGTAAGTTGTTCTCGTGGCCCAAGTAGCAAAACAAACACTGCGAAACAAAGACGTAGGTCCCGTGCCGAGTTAGGGGCTCAATCATCATAAGAAATGCCGCTTTGTTTTGGAATGACGAAAAAAGTGTTCCTGTGGCAATGACCAATGTGGCTGGGCATTATCTATACAGTATGCTGATGATGATTCTGAATATGTTAACGCTGATGTTACAGGACGTTTCCGTACCGTTTGATTTCCTGCAGAAGAGCCAGCCCCTCCTCAGCCCCAGACACAGAATCCCGATCGTCACCAGCAGAATCCCCGTCGCCACAGACACGATAATAGCGGCAATCAGAACCCACTTGGATCCTGCAGAAGGAGAGAAAAACAGCCAGATTATAGCTGTGTTATCCTGCATGTACGTGCCGACTACTGTGTTTGACATTATAACGTAATTAAGCAGTTTGAGCAGTTTCACATCGGCGTCTGCAAAATCCATAGTCAACGTTATAGCAGTAATTTCACGGACTTTGTGACTAGATAGTTTACTGCCTTCCCATTATATGGCTAGCTTTAGATAACTCCCAAAACGCAAGAATACGTATGGCATATGGGTAGGAAATAAAATATTATTGAATCCAAGAACACAAGAGTGTAATTTAAATGTATATGGCGTTGTCACGAACTTTGTGTTTCTCTACCTACCCTACCGTCATTACTAACACGTTGATAATTACATCCTGACTTGCCTTAAGCGTTTATTAATGAAGAGAAGATCCCCATGGCCATGTTCGACAGCTACAGTATTACACGAAGTGTCACGGCGTTATTTGACAACCTTGCTGACTTTTTGACCGCATCTCCCCGCAGCTCCCAGCTATGACGTGGTTGACCTCCCCGGTATGTCCACCCTATGCATCAGCTCGGCCGGGATACAGATACATTAAACAGAAACCAAACTAAGGGCGCCCCGAACACGATTACTTCTCCGTGACAAACACCTGTGCATGATGTTTCTAATGGATTACTCAGCCCTCCGTAGCCGGTATCCATTTGCACCCGCCTTTAGGCCGCTCCATCACGCCGACAGGCCGCTGGCTATCTAGGTCTATTATCAGGGTAGATACGGAGCGCAGCACATCAGCGCGAGCGTTCCGACTGACATCAAAGTCATATGAAAAAGCTGTCTGGCAGTTCTACTTCACACTTTTCATTTCGGATTCCTGTTAAGCTGAAGCGAAAATATTCATTCCCTCGCTTGTGAAGTCTCCTGAGGTAGAGGCATTGGCAAGATTCTGCAACTAAAGCAACTGGGCTTCTAAACTTTAAACCGTCTTCATTCGGCGCCGGTATGCACCACCTTAGCTAAGACCCAAAGCATTACTTTAATCTTGATCTCTGCCCTGACCTTTGACAGTGACTCTGAGGCTGTTCATGACCCTCGATCCTACTACTCTGACCGAACATGTTGGTGGGCCTGTAGATGAAGTATTCAATGTACCAGGCGTTAACATGCCTTTTACATGGGACATATTCTCTATCCTGGACGAAATGACTCAATATTTGATCCTGGCCCTCACCTATGACCCTGACCTTTGACCCGGAACCTGACCTGAACATGTTAGTTTGCCTGCAGATGACGTATTCGGTGTATCAGGCGTTTATAGACCTTATATAGTCGACAATAACCCCCGTAATGACCCCTGGCTTTTGATCTTGACCCTCACCTACGACCTGACCCTTACCTTTGACCCTGACCCTGAAGTCCTCCTGGTCTGACCCGAACATGTTGGTGGCCTTGCAGGTGTAGTCCCCGGAGTGCCAGGCGTAGGCAGCGTCTATAGACAGGACGCTCCGTATCCTGTCCGTGACGACAGTGGTGACGGTGACGTCGCCGCTCTTGCCGCCGTGGTAGCGGGTCTCCTCGCCGTCGGGCCCGCGGAACGTCCAGACCAGGCTGTCCGGCGGCGGGTCGGCCGCGATGGTGCAGGTCAGCCGGATGGAGTCCCCGCCCGCCAGGGATGTGGTGGACGGATCGCTCAGGACGTCGGGTCTGCCTTAGGTATAAACACACGATGGGAAGTATTCGGCACAACATGTGGATAGATATGGAAAGTTCATGTAGAAGAAGTCAAACACCCCAATAGCTTGACAAGAATAGTATAGTATAGCATAATATAATAGTCCCATGTTCCCCTTTCCTGTTTTCTGTATCACATATCCACTCTTTATCTTCTATAAGTTATTATTAGTTTTAAGTAGAGATAGAAAGTTAGATTAGTAGACTGTAGAACTCCATGTTAGCATATAGTTTTATACCACTGCATTCTGTACTCATTGTTCTTGCCAACGTCTGTTTGCAATAATCCCTCGGGCATGAACTTGCAATAAAGAACTCATATGTACAAGTTCCTACCCGAAGGCTAAGTGCAAACACGTGGACATGTATGGTTAAGATACGTGTGATAGAATCATATTAAGTAACATCCGTATGGCAAGGACTTATTCTCACAGTAAAGTAATCTAAATACATTTCAGAAAATACGTCATTCAAATGCAATATGGAAATATAGAAACAAATATCGAAATGACAAACTATTTCAATAACTTTAAGTAAAACATACAACGGGATATCGTGATAAAGCAAGTAAAAATATAGAAATAGATATGATTGTTGCAAGAAATATTTTCAATCTCGCACAGACACCAAACATGTACCATTGGCAATTCACTACTAGCTACATGTGCGTATATGTACGCACATGAGACACATACATTGTATACGGCATTGTGCTTCATAAATTTAAGATAAACATCTAACGTTCTTCAAACTTCTTTATGTGTTTGTCCCAACCTCGTGTCGACATGATTTTCCTCTCCTGTCCAATAATTACGCAGGTTATTTACCATCCCATCAGACAACGCTTCTAGCGACTAATCGAAGTTAGGGTCTATCATAAAGAATGACATTCACGCTTTCGGCAACATGATTTAGCAGTTTGGTAATTATACACAAGGGTTGTCTCACCCTCTCTCCATCAATCATCGCTGTCCTAGTCATTACACCCTGATCATGTTAGTACGCAGGGGGAGGGGGGCATGGGACTGTACTGCTACAGCCGCTAAGAATCGGTACAAACGCTTTTATGTACCTCCCGTCTGCTGAAAGAATTTTAGAGGTCATAACTACTTATTTACAGTAAGAAATTTGTGCGGTATTGGGGGATTCTGATGGTTTTTTTGTCCCAGTACAGCTCGCAATGATTTTGTTACAAGTTCCAATATTCCTGTTTTATTGTACCAACTTGAGAAAGTCCACTGTGTGTGCTTTAGACCGGACCATTGTTGAGTTGGACTTCATGTCACTTCTTCCGACTGTTTGATTGGTGGGCTGGAGGTATTGTGGGAGCACATGATGCATGAGCACACAGATGTTAGATCCCCGCGTTAGACGACGAATCACCAGGGCCGTACCTGGGGGTCACCTCTGTCATTTCCGTCGCTCAGACTGGCGGGAACAGAGGGATTAGGGAGCCCCTTCCTCAACAGAAGGTCCCACTTACGGGCTTACCGACCCTCCAATTGCTGGAGAGGCCACGGAAAATACGTTTTCGCACCGTCTCACTAGAGCCATTCATCCACAGGTTCCTGGCCTGCCAAAGTGACATCGGAGAGCTATAAAAGTTTTGTTTTATAACAACTCTTTGTTGTAAGTACTACATCGGGAACGGAGGATACATTCGATTCTGTAGCCTTTCTACATTAGCTCCACATGGAGGTAGATGTGGATGTCAGGTGAAAGGAACTCACTGGAATTATTTAGATAAAAATGACGCACTAACATAAGGCAGCGGCGGATAAAGTGTCCATGACGTTATGAACGGGGTGCCTATCTGTACTGTATGACGTTGACCGATGATACGTACCTGTATGACATTGGCAGGTGAGGTGTACCTGTGACGTTGACAGATAAAGTGTACGTACTCGTGACGTTGATAAATGTAGCGCCTACCTATGACGTTGATGGACGTCTCCCTGTTTGCGTCGGGAAAACCGACGCTGGAGGCGACGCAGACGTAGCGTCCCTCCGCCTGGTAGGTGACGGGGGCGAGGGTGAGCGGGTTGTCGTACAGGCGGTGCGTGTCGTGCCGGAGCCAGCGCACCCGGGGCTGCGGCTTCCCGTCCGCCGTGCAGTCCTGCCGGAACACCTCCTGCCCGTACAGCACGCTCACTTCAGACTCGAAGCTGGGCTTGATCGATGGCGCGTCTGAGAACATCAGATTAATGTTTGGCCGATCAGACAATGACAGACTGATGCTTCAAACATTTTATGACTGTTAGATATCAGATATTTTGTGATACCTTTTTGGAAAAGTTTCAAGAGTTCCGCAAATTCATAAAATGAAATCATTATCATCATCATATTGGGCAGGTTGCCCGGAATAAGTCCACTCTCTCTTCCTCTCCAGACAACAATATAAGACATAATCCATATACGATTAGAAAAGAAACTGCCTTGATTGATGAGACGTCTGGTAATGACGTGAATTCAGTAAGCGTTTTTATTTCTTATTCTATTGGTTCGATTAACATACAGCTAATACCTTATAACTAGCCAAAGGCTATTGTTAAGTCTTTAAAGTTCACACTTATTCTGCCATTGCAATCAGTGCAGTGTCCTAATCGTAGGTGCTATAACGTGCTCGAGGTGTGCCTCTGCATGGTCCACTGCATGGACCCCTAGCTACCCATTGTCTCATCAGTAGGACTGTACTTGGAACTCCTGCAAGAGGCTGGGAGACCTTTCCTCGCGGGACTTTTGTCTCAGCGTGCCCTCTGAAGGACCGTAACCCCTGCAAACAGTGTGCAAATCCGGCTGGGAGCTGGTTTGATCGATGGGATGTCTGATAACCGCCGGGAATAAGCGTTATCGAGTTTTCGGGGCAGTTATGAGGGAACGGGTGAGCGGCGGGGAGAGTAATACGGCCAGGAGTATTAAATAATCCCGCTGTTGAGCCCGGCTATTTTTCAACGAGACGATTCATCAATAGAGCCGACCACAAGCCCTGCGATGACGTGATTACATACATGCCAGCAGAGATGACAAACTGCGGGGGAAGAGCCGCCATTTATCTGTACTTCATTCCAGCGTTACGACTCTATCACGTACTGCACGACAACTGATTAACACCGTTAGAGATATGATGTCGGAGAGAAGCATTGCCGTGTGAACAGGAGATATAAGGCATACCCGCGGATTGATATGAACCGTAACTCACCAACCATTTCATGCTGATTACGACTGGCAGAAATCCATGCATGATAAAGGATCATCACTATTTGCCGTAAAGATAATAATGAAATTTGACGTTCCCTCAATTTTGGATATGGACTGCCATGCGCCGTAATAGTCAAATAGTTCTTTGAGATGATTCTAAAACTAGGAGATGGCAACAAAAAGCATTGGTAGTTGAAGTCGATATACAATTTCCTCGCACATTGATACGAACTACTAGGACCACTCCCAGAGTACAACCAAATGACTTATGCCTTCAGAGAGGCAGTATGAGAGAGGGGCAATGTTTGTGTTGTAAACACAACAATTTTGTACATACTTTTCATGTAAACGCAAAATACACTGATATTCCTCCGTACTTTAAATTATAGATTTAATTGCCATAACGTCATAGATCACCGTGCATAGATCCAATATGAAGGAAAGCCGCTGTCTTCCTTGAATTTTGTCAACACACGTTGTATAAATTTGCTTTTCATTTTTTGGTAGGAGCCACGATTATAACACATAGATGATGTCAGACTGATCAGCGCCATTACATATCAAATATTTCATAATAAAAAGCATAGTTATTTTAGTGAACATAATAATATACGGTCTCCTTATATATTAACATTAACCATATCACCCCATGGAGTTCTGTTATCTGATTCACGGCATCAGAGCTCCTGTGTGAGAGAGAACCTGGATTTGTGATTTGAACAGATGATGTACGACATTCCCGTGAATCGTTATTCACCCTGTACTTGGTACTGATTACGAAACGCAGAGATCTGACTTGTAAAGCCGTCATTATCTGAACCAAACACAAGATATACAGCTGCCTCTCGTATCTAGCCTCCTGTGCAGGCCTCCGGGCGGGTTGGAGTTTTCATACTGCGTTTTGTACAGACGGCGGGTATACAAACCTTCTCTGGGCGGCTGGTTGTAGGATGGCCGGCAAAAGAACGCGTTGACAAATTTCTACGAAACGCAGTATCAAAACTCCCACCCGCCCGAAGGCCTGCAGAGGAGGCTATCTGGTATCGACATCAACAGAGAAACAGCCATGAGAACTCACAGAGTACTTCTAACGTGGTGGTTCCGAATCCAGCCGGCTTGACGTCGTTGTCGGCCCGACACTGGAAGATGCCGGCGTCCGGTCTGGTCACTTTCGGGATGGCCAGGACTGATCCCCTGGAATGAAGACACACTGCGTGTTATTGTTAAGATAAGAATTATATATGCACATGTACGTGTCCCGTTTGAAAATATGTTTCATAAAAGAAAAAGATTCAGGGAAAAGAAAGACGATACAGCTGGTACGGAGAAGCCACACTCATACATTCAAGAATGTAGATGAGCAACTTTTAAACATTACGTGCCTGAAGTCATGAAAATGATTTAACAAATGATAGTTTCAAGTGTTTGGTGTTACTACATGTACAGCTCTGTAGCAAACCGACCGGGTGTACCTTCTAACCGCCCTAAGATTTACCTGTGCTGTGCACCATCTGGTAGCGAACCTCCGAACTTCCTCCACAGGACTTCAGCCCTGGGGTTGCTGTCCACCTCGCACGTCAGGTTAGCAGGGGCGCCCTCTACCGCCTGCACTACCGGCTCTGGCACAGTCACAACGGGGGAGTCTGCAAAACATGGAGATTCTATTTACTCACTACACATCGGTTCTGACGCTTGAAAACAGAACACATCAATAGATTTTGAGTAACCACATATCTCTGAACTCCACAGTGTGGTATGCATCTAGCCCGTAAAAAGGAAGAACATTAGGAGCGCTTGAAGAATGAAGTCGTTTGGAGAGCAAAATACTGCAAGACTACGCCACAAAATTACTTCCTGCCAAATGAGAACGTAACGCTTCCTGCCGGTAGAAAGTCAGGGCCGTCTGAGGGCGCTAACCGTATTTACGATACGGTGACTGATTACTAGTATATCGTTTTTGCGGACAGCAGACGGCTGGAGACATAAAAGTCCCCCTCAAGGAGCCGACTGGATCCTCCCGGATAACCGCGGGAACTTATGGTCTTAGGTACCTGAATAGCAACCAGCTGACTTATCAGGACACTACAGAGGCCAGTCACAAAGGCCATGTTGGGAACATGCTGGAACATGCCTTATTTGGCGCGAACCAGTTTAAAACCAATCAGGTTGCTTATTTACGAGCTTACTATATCTAGCCCGACGTAGTTTTCAGCCAATCAGCGGCCACCTTACAGAGAACTCACCACAGTTTGATCGTGCCGTTGTGGTCGTGATTTCAAGTGCAGGAAACGACGTTTTGCGGACTGCTCATTGGATAAAAGTGAAGAAGGCGTTTTCGGATTGGCTGAAAGCCGGGCTGGGCTAACGTCCAAACGCTGTCCTTTGCGGGCTGATTTACGTGTGGTAACTACACGGGAACGCCTAGAAGGGACGATGGTTATTGCCTGACCTTCCTGAACAACACCCGCTCTACAAACTTATCAACCGTCAGCAGGCGAGGACGCATGGCCAGGCCGGGTCCCGGGAGGGATGGTGTGCGGCGAGGCACAGGACAACTGACCTTCAACTCCGCGGTGCTTATTGAAGGCCACGGCGACATAACGGGGTGATTAAAGGTGCACACGCCTGCAAAAACCTCTCCGCGGTGCCCAATTATGCTGAAGGTCAGGAGAAATTGAGAGATATTTGTTTGGTTTTAATGCAGTCAGGGGATATTACGGACATATCAGCCACATACAGCTGCAAGCGGGAAAACGGCCGCCATTTTCTCTGGCCGCAGAAGTGTGTCTGTAAAACGGGACGTTTCCTGGTCTCACTTGTTGCAGCAGATAGGCCGGACAAAGTTGATGTCAAGAACGACTTTCAATTTGTATGAGTCGCTCCTTTTAACAGATAGCCAATAGCCAGCGAGGTGCAACGATACATATTAGCACGTATAAGGCCTCTATATAAAAGTATATCAACTGAAAAACGTATTCAATTGCCATTGAAGTTACAAAAATGTAAACATGTATACATACGTCTCAAGATGTTCTATTGCAAAATATTAATTGTGTTTACATTCTCGCATCACATGGGGTCCTCAGAAGATGTCAGCCATGTAATAGAGTTTGTGTGGTCTTCTCGTCTGGATAAAGGGCACAGTCGCTAGTTTGAATCTTGATCTTGCTCAAGATGCCCAACCTGACTTCTAATTTCAAATACGTTGTGTATTCGGGTACAAATAATCATAATAAAGTATGATAGCATATCTCCACCCACATAGTCACTTTCCCTTGTGCCACCCAGTTCCACCTATATACCTTTACAGAGCAGACCCACGCACGTCGAATGCCCATCCCATCTCTTCATGACTTCCAGTAACTGTCAATATTGGGTGCGCGGCTGTGCGTTATAATGGCGGATTTTGCAGTAAGACCATAGGACATCCATTTCAAGGATATTGACAAGTACCATTTGCGGAGCCTCAAGGATGCTTACGACACATCTAAAAGTCACACGCAGTAAAATTAATGACGGCCATTTGTTGCTGCCATTTTACCGCGAGACAACAAATTTCGCACCTCACTAAACATTACACAGCGAAGACCTATCTCCACTTTGCTCTGATGTATGTGCATTTTTGCGGTGCAATCATTTTTGGGAGGCAGAAGTGCGGCGGCTTCAGGGGCTTCCGATATAGATCTGACAATGAGCAACGGGTGTGTGGATGTGCTAAAGCTGCATTCTTTACGCAGATGCAGATATACACAGATATATGGAGATACACACAGATACTGTCAAGAAAGGCTGATGGTTATGGTGTAGATTAAAGCGACAATGAGACACAAGAGTTATTTTGCTGCCAGTTCGCTACAGAGGCCGCAGTTGTATGGCTTTAGCTCTGGTGCATTTGTTCAGGACATTCATCTGACCAGGTCACTAACCGCTAGTGTTGGAACGTTTTCTTGAATCATGTTCCTATTAACAACACTTGCTGATATCTATCTATAATTGCTGTCTGTTTGCCGTTTCGCACAGTTTGATGCACGGAGAATCTGCAGTTCTGTCGTGATTGCTTTTGTAAAAGTGATGAGGACATTCTTCAGGGCAGATGGCAAACAAAAGATGTTGAAGCAGCAAGTACTTCTTCCTACTAAGCAAACAATACCGACTCGCAGATATGCATCTATGAATGTTTCGCAGGTTGCCCTTCCATGAAACATCACGAATAAGAATGAAACCATTGATTTTTGTAACAGGCGATGCTGAGAGTAAGCGACGTGGAAATAGCTCTGCTTCCAACCGTTACACCAGATCTGGCAATCGAATGAGAACCTAGTGGATAGAACTGGATCGAATTCCATTTGGAACTCAAAACTGCGCGGACTAACTGGAGCAATACGATAAATCGTTGACGTCACTGCCATACCTATCTTGAAAGTTTAGTGGACGTTTGATTTCTGGAGCTAACTCTCATATTGGGGAGATCTGTCATCTGACGTCATTCATCAGCAATGGGGGCCCCAAGACGAGGGGGCTTTGGGTGGTGGCTACGTGATAAACATGTAGTATTTATGACATGCTCCCTTCCGAAAATGCCTGGAATCTACCGCATAGCACATTCATCGCGTACATTCTAGAATATTACTTATAACAAATGATTGATGTCGTTATTGCACCGTGATAATTGATCTATGAATGGTATTTTACTTTTGGACACGTATCTCCTTTAATTCCGGTTTTGCTCGTGATATAACGTGTGTTCGTTACAGACTGGTCACTTTGAATTTGGAAAGTCATATTCGAGGTTGCTAGATGTGCATGGGAAAAGCTCTACATTTGATATTATTGTAGATATTAAGTTTTACAAAGCATATCCATCCGTTTGCATTATGACTTGTTTCAATATCGCATCTTTGACGTTTAAAACATAAGTCAGAAGTTCCATATTAATGATGTCTGACATGTCCACCTTTTCTCACATGGCCATATTTTAGCTGCATTCATTGCACGTCATACTATGCGTTATATCATAAGACTCATATCCAGCCAGCCTATGGGCATACGTTCATATATATATATGGGGAATCTACCTGAAAGATCTTATTCTTTCCTTGTGGTGTCCATCTTGTTACATTTCTCAGAACTCACCACGGTGAGAGTTAAATGTCAGGTCCTACCGCTTTCGTAACCGAACTGCAACTAATTCCGAGGTCACATTTCCGATATAAAGGAGCAGAAAATACACAAAAAGAAACGTTTTAGAAACTAATCATGAGTACTACTTGTGTTATATTCTTGATATGACTTGTTAATGTTTCGTTGATGTAGACAGCCCGGCCGGGCCCCGGTTTGAAAATGTGACCTCAGCACAAAGTCCCGTCTTGCCTTGGCATTCTAAAGCCATTCACCCCTGATCTGAAAGGTTCCAGCACATAAGACATGATGTACCACGCTACGCAGAATGCCCCTGGTCGTAGATAAGGTCCTTACGAAACCATTAAGGCGATAAGGAGCTCTCCTTCAAACAATGTCTTATCGTCGCCATCATTTATCTTACTTAATGTTCCTGGTTAAGTAATTTTCAAACCTGCAGGGCACATTAGCCCGGATCTGATGTCGACAATGGCCGATTGGATCTGCCAACTGACCAGATTATCGGTCTGCCCTGAGGTTCACCATTAATCATTCACATCCAGGGAGTCAAACTTGGCTCTACATAAGACAGTGGGATTAAAGGGACTTGTGGGAAAGAGGCCAAGGGAACGATCACTATCACAACAAGGAATCGAAGATTTTACACCCCCGGCAGCAGGTGGACTGACACACGGATGGTTATGTGCCGTTATTCCCAACCAAACAACTATATGTAATTAACCAACCAACCAACCAACCAACCAACCAACCAACCAACCAACCAACCAACCAATCAAAGCAACAGAAATAAAACATTGCCCAAACGAACGGACACAAATCATTAACCAGCTCTCACTCTTTTGTATGTATTTTGTACCATGTATGTGTAAAATGTGTGTATAGGAATTTAAATGATTTAAAACTGTTACACGTACATTGTTTGTCTGATCCTTACCTCTTCCCAAATGACGTCAATACGAGAAAAAAGCAGTCAGCAAGCCGTTTTGAGCTTCTCGTAAAATAAGACAGTTTCAAGCAAACAAACACAACAACAAAAACAACAACCAAATAACAAACAGGCAAACAAACAAGTAAACTCACATTGCACATGTATCTGCCTGTACGTGGCCCTGGGTGGGGCTATTTTCGGGAAGCCCTGGTCGGCCACACAGCTGATGTTGGCACCATTGTCCCACCTCGTCAGGAACGGGAGAACCAGGTCGGAAGACACCGTTTCGGATCTGTGACAAAAAACACGAAATTTATCATCATCCAATATCACTATTCTTCCCTAAAAACACGAAATTTATCATCATCCAATATCAGTATTCTTCCCTCAGTTTTGATATACGATGCAATATCTTAAGGTTCGGTACAGCAGTCAAATTCTCCTGATACTCATTTTGACAAGTTCGATCTTTTTTCCAACAGTAGGCAATAAACGACAATGTCCTTAGGACAGGAAAACTTTGCAGAAGTTTGTAAGATGGCAACACGAGTTAGAGTTCATCACGGCACAAAAACTAGACCTGATCTACGTCAATACTCTGTAGGTTTCTGTATGCAAGTTAAGTGCCACCGTGTTTTTTTTCTTCTAGAAGAATATATAGAAGTCCATTACTTAGTACCGGACTAAGCCTGGCTGCCGGCGTAGCTATAGTGGCTTAGATTTCAGGAACCAAGAGCTTACCTGTGCTGCACCCTGCTGACCGACCGTACCGGCGGCTGGCGCGTCGTGCCGTTGTACCAGACCAGCTTAGGCAGAGGCCGTCCTCCGCGGGACTGGCACGTGAGGACCAGGCCTTTCCCTTCGGTCCGCGGGGCGAGGGGGCCCGTGATCTTTGGCGACGCAGGCGGTGGCACTAGAAGAAGTGGGAAGAAACATGTATGTATGTAATGTGGTGAACATTGTGAGATTAATAAGGCCTGTTGGTGAATTGTACAGACATCCATCGCTATGGTCTCTTTAGACGGTTGCAAGGGTTGTATGCACAGGTAACTAAAGGTATATTGAAAAAGAATATTGAATTTGATCTGCGGTAATATTCTGTAAGTTTCTGTATGCTAGTGACACAGTTTTTTTTCCTAGACACATATAGAAGTCCATTCCTCAGTACCGACCTAAGCCTAGCTGCCGGCATAGGGGCTTACATTTCAGGAACCAAGAGCTTTGCGTGTATAAACCAGGTCATTTACTACTTGGTGTAGTTTACAGGTCCGCATATCTATGTGGGCCAAATGAGCTAGAATCAAAGTGGACATAAATAAACCAAAGGAAATGTTGCGCTGAAATACGACATTTGAGAAGAAATCCGTCACCTATTCTTGAAACGTTAACCTATATTTACTACGGGATACTAAGACATCGACAGTTTCCCCTTTAACCCGACGTTAAAACTAAACCCTTTATGACTTGATTGCCCATCTGGGATTGGCGCTTCGCAATTAAAAACGATTCGGATGTTTAAGAATGTGCTGACTGTGGAAGGCCATATGGCCCACATATTGACCATTCTTTATGTAGTCGTTTTCATTGAGTTCTATGAGCGCGCGGCCGCAGTCACCCGTGTGAAGTGAAAATCCGCCGCTAGCGAGCACCACAGGGCGCACCTGTTCCTTATAGATACAATAAAGACCGTTTAATGAATCCCGCGCGCCGGTTTAACTCCAAGACAAATCATACCGGCGCAGGGCTGCATCTCCTGGTAATTTTCCAAGCAATCTGGTCCGACTGTTATTGTCGGAGAGTTCCCGTCAATCGGGCAAAGTGGACAGGGGGGAGTCCGGAGTCGGGCAAATCTGGGATCCGGCCAACTTCACAACTGTTTGATGGGCGGATATAATAACTTTGTCGTCTCGGGCGTGGAGATTAATTACAGAAATTGATTGTTATAGTCGTGAGGAAGCCAGAGGGAATTCTGATGGAGTATTCCTCCCGCCCCGCGTAAAGAGACAATAAACGGGCGAGGAGCTGCAGCTATTCTTTCCTTCATAGTCGGAGCAGCAAATCTTTCAACATACTATTAGTTTCCGCTCTTCACGGTCTTCGTCTTGAACACTTAGATACAAAGCATAAGTTGAATGTCAGGTTGCTTTAGCTATCTTTTAACTGGGTTCTTTTGATAATTTTCTTTTCAATCAAGTCCAATCGTCAATCAGGTAAAGTGGACATGAGACCCGGGATGGACGGTCTAGGAAAGCTGGACGCCGGCCAAATTCACCATTTTGTGATGTGCATTTAGTGGCGACGGATATAATAACTATGTCGTCCCGAGCACCGAGATTAATTAGAAGAATCGATTGTTGCAGTCATAAGAGAACCACTGGGAATCTTAATGAAGGAATCGTTGGTCCTGTCTGTGTGTAAAGAGGGAATGAACAGCTAATGAACTGCACTAAAACTCCAGGTATTTTAACATCCTACCCTACCCTAACAGGAAGGTGAACTATTGACGCTGCTGTGTTCGTGATTGTGTAATTTCCGTTCCTTAATGACTGCGGAAGCACAACGTTTCTTGCCTTCACCTTTAAATTTTACTGTACTTGTTTGCTTTACCAAACGTCAAAGTTCAATTTGTGAGGAAGTTGGCTGCATTCAGACCCTTCATGTTTTGTTCGAATATTTTCAAATATTCATTGAAATTCTATGTATTTATTACTGTAACCTAAATGAGATTGAAGGCGAGAGTCATTTTATTGTGGACTGTACTCTATATAATAATGAAAGATTCTCTTCAATTGTATACAAGATTATTTCCCTAGCTAGTTTTAGATTTTTAAACAGAAAAGAAAATTCACATTCCTCATGAAACTCGATAATCGTCGTACTGCAAGCTCCACCTGTTCTTACATTTACAACTGTCTTAAGAAACGAGAAGAAGCAGAACCTGTACATATGTAGCTTTACTATAGATATATTTTAGTCTTACTGTAGATATATTTTAGGCTATTTGCCGTAACCTGTACTTAGTTCGCAATGAGCAAAAATGTACAATAAAGGTCTTTCATTCATTAACCTTGATTTAACTTCTTCAGAAAGCTGGCTGCATCCAGACCCTCTATGTTTGCATTTTTTGTGCTATATTTAAGTTCGAATATTTCACTGAAATTCTATGTAACATTGATTAAACTTCACGTGCTCCGAATTTTCCTGACAAATCGTTTCCAGGCGGTTCCTCCGTCCTACATCGTGCCGATATGCCGTCCTTCTTACCAGGACAATACTCGCCTTCATTCAACCGACTTATGATCAAATTCGTATTGATTTTCCGGAGCTGACTGGATTCGCTTCGCTACTTCGTCGTGACCTTCAGGCTTTCTGCTGATTATCTCCGTCGTGGAGCCCGTGTTTTCAGCCGGTTTGGCTGGCGTGTGGGTAGAATTTCTCCAGAAGTTAGAACGTTACGAACAAACTTTTCCTCTAACGATATGTGTTTGTTTGTACGTTTTAAAGGTCTTGGTCGAAAGTTGTGTGTAGAAACTTGGTCTTCTTACAAATCTGGTTTTAGGTGGAGACTTGTTTTACTTATTCATAGTTAATCGTTGTGAACTGGTCGTAAGCTAATTTAGCAATGTTTCAAGCTAGGCCAGCTTACCAAAAACTAGGTCACCTGGAACATACATGTTTCCTATCATAACCAATTTATTATCCGGTAACCACCAGAGATAAGGTGATGCATCGATACTCCCTGCGTTTCTATTATAGTTTGTGATCCGTTCTTTCACGTTTTATACACTCAGACATGCATTAGCAGGCTTTGTGATGGGTGCTCCCTAAGTGCAGTTACTGTTTTATTGCGTTCTTAACTCCTAAGTCTCTAGCTGTAGACATGTTTACACTGCCAATCGCGAGCGCTCATTATTCGCCGCCCGTCCCTGGTGTACGAGAGCAGCACTCTGCAAGGATCATTCCGTTTAGATAAGAGGGTGTATCCATCTATCAAATTCCTCGGCCAATCCATCTCGTGGTTATTGTAACGTCGCGAAAAATTGGATTATCTGATGGGTTTTCATTCGCTGCTGTAGGGTCCGACGCACCTGTACAAATGGATTAGTCTGAAACACTAGGGTCTGGTAAGACCCTAGTGTTTGTTGCTAACACAAGTGACCTCAAAATGCGGGTGCAGTTGACCCAGGTTCGGCCATGACACCAGGGCGCGCCCTTACTCTTATTGAAAAGTGTGCAGAATAGTAGTCGCCTAGTCGGTACTTAAACACATTGAGGAAATAAATCTTAACCCTTGCCTTATCTTGACTGAAAAAATAGAAGTGTCACGCGAGGATTCTGTTCGTTGCTAACACGGGTGACCTCAATGCGGCTGCAATTGCTCTAGGTGGGGCCATGACTCCCGGTGTCAAGCCATATACATGGTGCTGCCAAATACGTGACTCCGACACGACTTTGGGAGTTTCCAATATACCTGAGACAGGGGGTTGGAGGGGTTTGGTTGTGATTGAGAAGACAAGCTAACCTAACCTAACCTAACCTAACCTAAGCCCAATCGTAAGTCTAACCCTAACCCTAGCCCTGAACAATGATCCCAACTCTAACCCAAACCCTAGCCCTAAACACCTGGCCTATCACGAATGTGACAGCTCACGGATTTGGCCCAACACCGGGCGCGCCCTTCCACTTGTTGATAAGTGTGGAGAATAGTAGTCGGTTTAAAGGACGACAGCTTACAAATCCACGTCTAGACATAGAGATATTGTTTCAAGGGGAAAGGGGTGACCTTATCTCACAGTCTTGTGTGCATCTTGACCTTGAACCACCCAAGGTCAGGTCAGGAACAACCCGTAGCGGTCACGGATATTGAAGACGCCAGTCATGACTCACGTACTTGGGGAGGGCTCTAACTAAACTTCACGCAAAGTCAGCGCAGACAAGGCGTTAACAGTCAGCTGTGGTGACGCCCGATGGGAAACTTTATAGAGGTCATTACTGAATAATGAGAAGTCATAAGTCTCGCAGAAGGATGAGTTTGGATCAGAAAAGGAATTAAACTAACGTTAAAGAGTTGTACAATGAATCATGGATGTAGAGTAGTAAAGACAACTAATATCTCCCAGGAGAAATTTCCAAAAGGTGCTCAGGAAATTAATGCGGCAAGACGGAGTGGCTGACATGTTTCCTATATTTCACCGGCAAGCCTTCTCACGGGTAATCAGCCCATACCTCCTGTCCGTAAATCACGGGAGGAAGGAGCGAAACACTCGAGAGCCGGCCTCGCCGTTCCTCAGCCCCGGATAGAGTTTCATAAAGGGCAATATCTCAGCCATCATCTGACGGAGTGAGATGACGGATCCGCCCGGGGGGATGCCTGGAGAGGTCCCGGAGGCGGTGCCCTCCCGACCCGGGTATTTAGCATCAGGAAAGTTGGAAAACCCGAAGACAGGATATTGATTGATTCCCCTCGTTACGGAGCCGTGTAGTTTCCTTATTCGCCCCACCTCTAAGAAGGTCCTGGCCTAGATGCAGAAAAGGTCACCGCGTCTTTCTCAAGTCTGGAACAAAAGCTGGGCTCTCCGCATCAGTTTCGGCTGGACCGCTAGCTGTCAATCATTCGGAACAGATAAAAGGATTCTTACGACCTTTGTCCTTTAGACGAGGACTTCTTTATTTTATTTTCGAGATGATATGTAAGTAGCTAGCAATGGTCCTTCTTTGTCTGGCAATATCAGTGTAGGACAGGGTCGAGGCCCAGTGTATGGTGCTCTGAAACCAATTGCGTCTCTCAGGTAGGGGTAATACACTACGAAGAAGACTTTACGCAGTCGGTCTTTCGTTAAAGAAGAGCCAAATCTATGACAGTTTAAAGAGCCCAATACACTTGTCGAGTAAGGGTACACATCGGAGTACGACGGCTAAAACTAGTTCGTACGCTGAGACCAGTTATACGAGACAGTAGCCTGAGTTACACATCCTCTCGCTTCCTGGAGCTAATTGGTCCCTCCTCTATAGATCTAGGTCGGGTCGGGTGGGCCGCTAGGAACTATATTATACTAGACAGATACTTGCTGAGTTTTACACGACCAAAGTGACCACAATGTCAGGAATCGCCAAGCTCTTCTTTTCAACTAACTATAAAAAGTAGCTGTAATTTATGCACCTGTAAAAGTCGTGCTGACGGTTGCAGATTTGGCCCTCAAAAGATCCCATTTGGACGTATCGTCCGCGCATCGATGGACGGGAGCTTGTAAAACACTCGTATAATAGAGGTGAGGCCCAGATGTGTCTCTATTTAGGGGTCGTGGGAAGTAATGGCAGTACGTAATGCTTTGTAGATTGGTTGAAACACCCTTTGGAGGGAGCGAAGGACGCTGTGCAACAACCTTGGCTGTAACAACTCTTAAGAATAGAAGCAATGATACAAACACTACAGTGATAAGCTTGTTGAAGAAGTATACAAAGTCACCATCTCGTCTTTGGCGAATGATGGGCCATGGAATTCAGTAGAAGGGTGGAAAGCAAAATCTGTTTTTAATTTTGAACTTTTAACAGTAGTTTAGGGAATGGCTATTTTACGATTGAATGGTGTACGTACTGTCTTAACATACGCATGACGTATAAAAGGAAGCTAATTATTTTAAGGTTTAGCATTATCTGGACGTCACGTATAGGCTGAGAGATTAGCCCCAAATGTGGCGCTGCTCAAGAACACTCATATATATGGTGACCATGCAGCCCCTTTTGAACTCAGTTCTGCATTGCACTTGCAACATTGCATTACGCAACACCAGTTACCATGGTGACAGACGTCTGGTCCTGGTCATTGACCTTAATTGTTTGGAACGGAAGAAGAAGAGGAAGAAACTGAGCAAAAACAATACTTTTTACTTAGGTAAACATAATTTAACACCTACTACCTGATGGGGTGGAATTCTCACCGATAATCTTCAGCTCGATGTCCTTGGTCTCCCTGACGGAGAAGACACTGCAGCGGTAGTTGCCCTCGTCCTCCTGCCGGGTGTCCTGGATGTACAGGTTGTACTCTCCCCTCTGCGCGTTCCCCACGATGGAGTAGCGGGAGAACTCGGGCGCCACCAGGCTGCCTGCCGAGATGTGGTACAGCTTGGCCTCGGAGGACGGGTTGTACCAGTGCCAGTTGACGACATCTCCCGGAGATAGCCCGCTGAAGGAGCAGTACAGGGTGACGGGCTGACCCAGCAGCGTGGCCGTGTCCTGTGGGTACTGTCGGTACGCGGCGCCTTGGACTGTGAAGAAGACATAAGAACAGATAACTTTGACCCGTACCTATAGCCCCTAATTACAATATCTGAGCAAGATCCAGCCGAAAGGACATTCACAGTGCAAATAAGTGGCGTTGCCATGTCCTGGGGGTATTATGATACGCGTACGCAGTACCATGTACTATGAAGAGAAGAAAAGAACAGATAGTATCGACTCTTAATAATGACCCTTGTGCCTATTTCTATGCCAGAGGCAGATTTCTAAAGAATCAGCTCAGGTTGACGGTCTGTAGGTATTGTCGATACTCATCGCCGTGTACTGTCAAGAGGAAACAAGAATGGGTACCTCTGACCCTCAGCTATGACCCTTAGCCCACATCCCTAACAGCAGACAAGCCGCTGGATGAGTAGTATAGTGTGGTGAGATTGCCGCGCGTTGACCTGACTATAGCACCATCGTCACCCGATACCTGTAAGATTTGATTTCAGTCTTCAATGGGCCCTTATACCACCATTGGAGCTCTGTATACCTTTAAATTGGTTTAATACGATTAGTATCATTGTACACAGGTCAAATATAGAATGGCACTGCCAATGTGTGTAGGTTAGCCTATCTTTGATATGACGGATTAACCTTTTCTGTTACGACTGACATAAATATACCATTATAGGAAAATGTTCTCCTGGAAATGACATTCGCAACGACGTTGTACATCAACAAGTAACACGTGGAGATACACGGTATACAATACGATTCCCCTGAAATTTGGAAAATGGCTTTCCGAATTCCGGGCGACCATTGCTGGAGGAATCTTGGCCGTACATTGGCCATTCGGCGAGCCATTTCCTCCAGAAGCGTTCCCGTAGTGGCAGTTTCCATCGCCCGCACGCCAACCTTGACTAATCAGCGCCGCAGCACTCCCCACGCCGACAGGAAACCGCGCTGATTCCCTGTGATGTCGGGGCAGGATTGACGTTAACGGTCTTTGTGCCATTCTCGGCCAGGCCGCCGCGATGTTTCTCACATTGTGGGGCTCCCGGGATGACGTTTTCTTCTTGCCGGGCGGCGTGAGTGGACATTTGGGGTTAGAACCCCATTTGCAGAAACGGCGAAGTGTGGTTACAGGAGGCAATATTCCGGCAAATGTCTTACAGTGGACGTTACGCTCCCGTCGTCTTCTCTTATCTACAGCAAAGTAGCCATAACTTCCGCTGGTGTGAGAGCTTTCTGAGTGGGAGAGCGCACGAGCGCGATGTTATGCATAGGAAGCCCCAGGCATACTACACACTATTCTCTAGTTCAATAGATCTAAAAGGTTACATTTTGTTCCAACACAGTATATATAGTCGACAAAACTTCAAAACTTCGCTCCAGTCCCCGTCTGCAGGATGTCTTTTAACTTCTGTAACATTACCGTACATAGGCAGCCGACGCTAATCTCCAAGCAGACGTTTGCACATATGCTTAATACCATACCATATACATGTACTGCTGCCTGTCAGAAATACGGAGCATGCAAAGCTTCACTAATCTGCAACACCTGCTTGGCGATTACTGTAATCCACTTGGTCTTCGCGGTTGCAAAATGTCACGGTCTGAGAAAAATAGGCATGTTTACGGAACTTAACGGTGGCGCCTAGTGTAGGGAGAGGATGAAAGATAATGATTTGATAACGGTAATGATAGGCTCACGGCAGAGAAGTGAACATGAGAACAGTGAAAAAGTCAGGGATTACAGTAATGTGACGCCGTTAGTGTACCAGGAGGCCTTATTATCTAGATTTCACAAGCTCTGTAATCCTTTCTAAACTGACCCGTTACAGTTAATTCCACGCGGACTGAGATGAATGACGTTGCGTAACGTAATACTTTGGGTGTCTGCACCCGTCCTCCTCCTAAACTTCTCCAGAATACATCACTGGTGTCAGGACCGAAGGTTAGCCAGTCTAAGTTGGGACCTGCTGACCAGTGTTCCAGACCGGTGCGTGCATGCACACATCTGTCACGGGCAGGTCCCGGCTGCACGCCTGAACGCGTCCCTCTAATCTCGTGTTGGCAATGAGACCGTTTAATTTCACATTCCAATGAACCCGAGTAATTAATGAACCACGTGCATCTGTTGCTTGATGAAATATTCAAGGACGTCATATCTACAGAGTTTGATTCATGTGCCGTATTTACAGTTATCGGATTCCACATATGACTTCTCCGTACCCTCCCCCGGGTCGCTCTTAGTATTCCTGAGTTTCCAACAGTCCCGTTCATCCTAATCTCCGAGCGCGCCGTGATCCCGGCTGTAACCGTGGTCGATGGGAGTAAGATATAGGCAGGTTCAGCGCCGAAATCCGCCAATGAATACTTAAAGGTACAGATTACGGCCCGGACATGGGAAATATTCCGTCAGGGGCAGAGACACGTCAAGAAATAACCAATTGATAAAACGGGACCGAGGAAAGGTTGGATCATCCCATTCCCCGTGCGGTGTCCTGTACTTAGGCGGATTGATTTAAGCTGCCCGATGTATAATGTACGACCTTTCTGCGTACCGAGTCGCGCTGCATGCCAAGTACAAAAGGGGGCGGGGACGGGGGAATAGATTAAACTCCGCCATTTCACCTGCGTATCTGCAGCGAGAGTCCGGCCAGGCAATATAATTTTCCGCATGGACACAGCCAACTTCAGAAACACCATTTTATGCACTAAAGGATTGATGCCCCCGGGAACAATTACCCCCAACACGGGTACGGCCATCAATTCAGGAGCTTCACCGAACCGGCGGCTTTAGCGACACTATTACCACCACTATCCGGCAATTCGAACCGGTAATTCCTTTTTTATTACCAATACATACATACAAATGTGTCGTTCAAAGGCATAATAGATATCAAAGCCGGTTCCATGCATGTCAGAGGCGGAGGAAATTCGATCCGTCATGGTAAGAGATCTCGTGTCAGGATCTCATTAATGCGAGAGTGAAAGTGAACCCGGGGTGAAAGTCACCAGGTGTTGATGAAGCACGCTCCACACAATCGCCATGACTGCGACTCGCGCGACCCGGAACGTTAGCGCGGAACGGATTTCTAACTGCCCGTGAACTAGATGAGCATGCTCTAATACTGCTTTAAAATCTTTGTATGAATATTCAAAGTCAAGAACACACTTCTAAATCAAGAAACAGAACACACTTCTAACTACCACCTATTTATCATAAGCATATTACAATGATAACGTTTCGATCTTGCAAGAATATTTGGCAATTTCAACACTCAAAAATACTATGATTTGTACAAATGACCGATTATTAAGTTTGTTAGTCCCGTTTCTTGTTCAAAACGTTAGTAACGAATAGATGCAGCTAAATGTCAATGTGCCGAGGTGAAAATAGTCGTATTACGTTCGCCCTTGGGACAATATTTAAACCGTTTCCTTCAATAACGATTGGAAACCGCCCGGCACTTACGTAATACCTCGGGCAGCATAAACCTTGTAGTTTACACCACGTCTTCTTTAACACCCCTTTCGGTGTAGTGGTAGGAGGAAGGGTAGTAAACCCTGGCTGTATAAAGCATGCACACAAAAAAAGCGGATGGAACAGCAACTAAACTGAAAACATTTCGACTGCACAGAGGGGCCCACGGGTTGAAGTAGCGAAACGAGCGACCAGATTATCCAATTTACGGTGCCCAGAAGTTCGTTAAGCACGCATACAGACTAGTTTGCACAGTCTTTAAATTCCCAAATGCATATTGCATTCCTGTATTTTTGTAGTTTGCTACCCACTGATGAACGTACTAACGATGCTGTAGCTAGTAAAATAGACTTTGAAACCGTGTAATGGACCACAGAAATGTCCATTTGCATTACTCTTCCAAGAGTCATTTTCCCAGTCATTCACGTTGCCAAATGCCCGTTCCATTCCAAGGCATTTACCAGTCCATCTACCAGCAGAACCCTCCACAACATCCAATAGAAATTTCACAGCAGCTCATTCAACACAAAATGTGCTCGTGGCAATCTTTAAGAAAACGTTAGCCGTGGAAGTGACTAATTGTGTAGCTGACCGGCGGGATTAGAAGTGTCACTCACCTTTCAGCACCAGGGACAGGGACACCTCCACCGCCACGGCGAGAACGTGGAGAGCAGCCATAAGTGCGGGCCTGTCAGCCACGGAAGCGCACCTTTCAGCGGGAGAACGTTGTGTAATGAGCCCGGTTGCTTCAGGAGCAGCGCGTGGGTTTCCCCCAGCCACGTTCAGTCGGCGCTGATTTGCCGGGCACTCCGATCGATCAGCGCCTTTGTTGTCAGGGGCTTCGATCTACTCAGCCACACACGTTCAATTAGATCAGGCAGTTAGCGCGTCCGCCGAGGGAGCTGCGAAAAAGTTACTTACATCAACAAACGCCCGGCGAATCTGCCGGAAGATGCACGGAAGGTCGTTAGTACGGCCCCTGGAAGAATGTGCACTCACGTCCGCCTGCTCGGGGGAATGGAAGTGTTTTTCTCTTTCGATCCAGTTTTAGCTTACTGAAAATCTACTCCTACACCGGTGTTAACAAGAAGGAAAATTTCTATATATAGCATACTCAGATTCGATATACCTGAGAAACTTCTGTGGCTATTTTCGACATGAGCAATAAACAATGGAGCACGACTTAACGTCCCGTCCTGCAAACCTTTCCAGCAGCATGCCAGTCGGGTGGGTAACAACAGTCAGGGGTCGACGCCCAGCCCTCCGGTCCATGGGCAGGGTCGCTAGACACTGGTCCACGCGCGCCTCAGGCACCATCCTCAGATAGGCAGGCGCTTCCATTCAACAGAAGCAGCAGGAATTACCAACTCCCGGTGAACACCGCCTGACGAGTGATCATATCGGTCCCCGGACTGCCGGCCGACTGAAATAGCTCCCCCGGATTAGCATATTCCACTCACGCTAGCTTCAAATTACCCATTATGTTTTGCGGTTTTGCCCGACATCCCGGTACAGAGTGTTGAGACCGTTTGAAGACTGTTCGTGAGAAAGATTTAATATGTTTCCAGACGACACACGTCAGCCTCATGCTCATGCCTTCAAACTTCCCGTCATGCTCTTCACGTAATGAATACCCGCCGAATATCGCCGGGCGCCACGTTTCCGTTTGAAAGTTGCAACCGATGAACATGTCGATAAATTGTAAGGTTAAACGCGCCGCTCTACTACACACACAAATAGACAACAATGCCGAGTCGTAAGTCTTCCTCGGTGGGCAATATTTCAACCTCTTAAGCAAACACCGGTTCTTACAAGAGGTGACTTGGCCTTATTTAGTATCAGGACGGTATAATTCATAATCATGTCCCAAATGCCATTGAATTTCAAGTTGCTTATGGCGGAAATGTCAATAAATGTAAAGGTTCAATAGAACGTTCTTAACAATGCTTAAGTCGTAAGTCTCTTATGGCGGACTATATTTCATGACTAACCTTATATTGTCTTAAGATGGCCCTTAATATATGATACCAGGTTCTCAATGTCACTAGATTATAAGTTGCGTTTTATGTATATGTCGAAATGTTCTAAGGGCCAATGAATGTACAAGACATATGGAAGTAGTACGGCTTCACCAATTATAAAAGCACACAAGAATATCAAAGCCATAACTCTTTCGTGACTGGTGGCATTTTATGTTCTGAACCAAACACGGATTCTCACCGAAGTTGACATGGCCTTATACTGTATTAGGACGGCCCTAGTTCATAATATCATGTTTCCAATGTCAATGCATCATAAGTCAGACTTAATGTAAATGTCAATGTATTGTACGGCTGAATGTATTGCTTCACCAAACATACAAATAGACAACAATACAAAAATCATAACTCTTCCGTGACTTCCATTATTTCATGTTGGTAACTGAACACTGCGGTTCATTTGACGTGAGAAGCTTTATATAACATTCCACCCGAGTCCTAATTGATAAGATCATGTTCCCAATTTAATAAATGGGTAAGACACGTCAATGTCGTTGTGAGGACGGAACATATTGATTGTTTTATTACATACCCCAAACAGGAGACAGGTGCAATGTACAAACTGGCAGGTCGGCATACATGTAGCCCCGTGCTTTCTGTACAGAGCGTTTTCGACATCTAACACTCCAATTAAGATGATTTCTTTTGATCTATTCACACTAGATGTCAGAGTATCGACTATTGACCGAGAAGACACGAACGCACGACTCACTCAAGACCAAATGGATTTTCTGTCACTGGTGTTTAAAAAGCACGTACATCCTTTCAAATGATCCCATCGTGCTGTTTAACACGTTTGTGCCCATTAGCAGCCATTGTGGCGCCCACGCACAGCTTACTAACTGGTTCCACAGTTTACAGCAACGATTCTCTGGGTGCCTTTATCGTGATCCCTACAGGCCTGGCGGAGACAGCAAAGACTGGATCTAGACGCTGTTGATGACGTTTCCTATCCAGGTTTCCATTTGAGGAGGGATTTACAAAAATATAAAAACAGTTGTGAAACCTGGATTGCCGGAGAGTCGGCGACTTGCAAAACGATTTCGCGGAATTCTAGTAAAGAGGTTGCAACTCTGCTTGGCATGTGGAAGAGAAAGTGGGATTGGGCACGTAATTTGGGATCAGGGTGATTTGGGAAGCTGTTACTGGGCTGAAGCTGCCGCCTGCCAGGCTGTGACGTCATGATAATCTGTGCAGCAGGTGCATCACGGAAGTTCGCATGTCCCGCGCCTATTACAGGCACAGACGGATGCCCATTAACCCGCTAACCTGTTAAAGTGTACATTACCCCGGGACTGATCGGAGATCCTGGATAATCTTGGAGGCTGTTCTGCGTCAACTCTAGAGCATTTTGTAGGGGCAGACGTCCTATAGTAGAGATCGTTTCCCTGACTGCTGACGACAGAGCTAACACATTGCGTAAACTGCATGCAATGACTTACGTCAAAGTTGCGTTTCTGGTCTATTTCCCGAAACTGTGTAAAGCAGACTGAAACATTTCAACACATAAAATGTCAGTAATGGTTTTCCACACTTCACAAACACGTCCTGTAGTTCTGTGTAAACCCGCGGTCAGGTTACGTCATTGCTGCTGGCGTGTTTCCAGAGATTGTCTCATCCTCAGAAGTTCCAGGTAAAAAACGCCGTTCCCATATATCTCTTTCTGCCTGATACATAAGGTAGACTACTGTCTAATTTCTTCGCTTCATCGGTCCGGACCGCTGTATCATGATCTCCATTACAGTGTCCGTGCTGTTTCTAAGGGCTCGACTTTAACTGATAGGCCCTCATGTAGTAATTGAGACTCGGCGGTCCCTGGCAGATCGCCCGAACATGATCAAAGTCAAAGACGTGTGCTTTTACATGCGTTGGTCTCCACTCGCTTTACCTGGTAGGGACATGGGACAGGGTACTGCAATAGAGAAAGTTTCTCTTTCATTCTTGACTTGGTGTCAGTACCCGTGTCCCTAGAGGTTTGGTGGAAACAGCAAAGACTATTTGCTATCACTGATCCACCCATTTGAGGAGGGATTTTTTACACAAATGTCAAAATAGTAGCGAAACATAAGGCCAAGCCTTCTGGTGGGTCAACTGTTTGTAAAACGATTTCGCGGGATTTCCTCGGGGATATATTGCAAATCTGAGTTAAGACGACGCAAATGAGAAAAGTGTCAGCGCCGGTGCCGTCCCTGCCGCAACTTCCCACGCATGTTCTACATACGACCCGTTAGGTCTCAGCAGGGTTCTGGCCCCACCGGCACGTCAATGCAAACAAACTGTGAGTATAGAGAGGAGTCTAGACAGGTCCAGATAGGTTTCATCCGCAATCTACCGACGAGACGATATTCACTTTGCTTTGTGAATAACCAAACTTGACGAACGTCTTTTGAATCTTGGCAGACAACGCAAGAATCCAGACAAATAACCTAAACATCCAGATACACATCTACAGCTTAGAAATCCAGACATGCAACCCAATCATGTGCCATGGTCATCTGTACATGTAGCAACGGAGTACGAACAACAGCGTTAACAAGTTGTAGTCATATGTTTCCCCCAAAGTACTGCCAGCCAGTTAAAACAGTTTACGGTCTTGATCTCGGCCTACAGAGGACGCCGCTGCCCCTATTGTTAGTCCTGGTGATCCATCAGATTGCCGCCTGTAAAGAGCACAGACACCCGGCTGTGGGTCTTCATCTCTCTTGCCGCTTTGATCAAGTCTCTGAACCATAAACATGGCTGGCTGACAAATGTCTGGAGCAGACATGTTTGGGTCGAGTTTTCCTGCATTCAATATTCCTGAGCCGTCTGGCGGATTTCCACCAACTTTCCTTCAGCCTGAAGTTGACAGATCGAGGAAGGTTTGAAGCCTTCATCACAATTGTTAGGTTATCTTGTGGGTGAGCCTTTCAGAAAGGGTTCCCCAAATGATATTGTGTGCTGCCTACGCTTCGTTCATGTTTGCCCCAGTATCACCTACAGTGTGCTTCCACTTTGCTATGTGAATAACTTTGAATAGTTGGCTACAGTCCAAGTCCGCCGTTTCCCTCCAACAGTTTTTGGCTGGATTTCTCATTCAAGCGGACAGTGCATGCGTCGGGCCTGAATTTAGATAGTCACTTGCCCATTACTAGCCTGGCATTATGAAGACATACGTATCATTAGTTTTATATTTTCTGTTAGGCTCAATTTCTTACTAACTGAAATTTAAGCACCCAACGCAAATACTCCCTTGATTGCTTTATATTATAGCTATGAGATTTATAATACACGCACAATGTTCAATGTGTATGTGAAACCATGATGTAGGTTTTGTCGCCTGTATGTAGTTTGGATGGTTCTAACATTATACCACAAGCTGGTATAAACGTGGGAGTGGAGAGACAAATCCTTACAATAAGCCGTTCATCTATTATAACACACAACATCCATTGATATATAGGTCTACAACGTGTAATTTCATACCGCTAGAGAGACAAATTCGGCTCAGTTTTGTAGACAGACGCCCCCTTATTCAAGAAACCCGTCCTGAAATCCAGACCGGTCATTTTGACTTGAGCAGGTCTGACATATCTCGGTCACACCCCTCTGGGGGATTCATATGTATGCCAATGACGAGTGGAAATCGAACCCAACTCGCGCATTCAGCCCACACGGAGCAGCTAGCGGTAGTAAAGATCACACTCAAATCACACGGAGATTTTCTTGGCGATGTTTTCCGCGCCAGTGTAATATCCAGCCGCGAGGGTGCCAATAATGGCCCACCCGATTAGACTGAAAATGGTGCTATTATCATGCACCGTTTGATGGTAAGCGCCTCGCGCCTTTATCATCGCAGTTCAATGACTTGTGGCAGGGGAACGAACAAATCTGAGCCGCATCGCACTCCAGAGTTTCACATCACATCGCTGTAACACTTTAAACGTGTGCAAATCACAGCAAAGGTTTATCAAAAGCTGAGTCTGCATTCCCTGTAATCCACTAAGACCATCTCTCCTCCTGTTATATGCAGATCTAACCCCATGTCTTATTGGAGACCTTTGGTAATCTCAGTGTAGCAATAAGAGACGAGAGTTGTTGTGTAATTGGCAAATCGCCGGGTTCAACAACGCAGCGGATTCCAAATTACCAACTTCCCCACGAGAGTAGAATCGTAAAGAGTTCGGTTGGCAAGAAAAGTCTTCTTTGATGATTACCTATCTGCCTACGGGCCCAATCTTACCTCCTTCTGGCAATATAATCTCCTACAGATTGGGGTTATGGTGGATATCAAATTGGAAATCATAACCTGCATAACAAGAAGGGCAGCGGGTGTGGAGACTGGTAATAAGTCTATTTCGCGTGGCCGATGACCAGTGTAAGGCGTGCTTGGTTATGAGTTGCCTCCATCACTATTATCTTCCACCGTGTTTCAACGGCTCTTCTGGTCTGCCGGGCATGGACGTGAACCGTAGTTTGGAGCTGTTTGCGATTGTTTCAGATTAGTTAATGCTTCACAAAACTATCTTGCCCGGGAAATGGCTTAGAAATCAAGAAAAATGTTCGCATTTGACCA